AAATTAAAAGCTATATTTTTGGCACCCTCTTCAAGCGGTTGTACGCTTAAAAGAGATTTTTTTGATATGAAAGACCCACCTTATTTTTCAACAGCGAATCACACCCTGATTTCTTACCCACGTATTTATTTACACCCTGTATATATAACATTCGTCAAACAAGTTCATAGAGTGAGAAATCTGTCAAGTCGATCTTCATACTTTTGCTTATTCGAATCTGCTTTTGTATCAACGACAATGATAATACACAAAATAAACTTTATTAAACCGTAATTTGTGCAGCAATCCAGTTTAAACAGTAACGCTAAAAGCTCACTTACAGCTAAGTAAGTTAAATATAATCATCAAGTTAAAAAATATAATAATCAATAATGCCTGTAGTAAATATTACGCTAAATTTGCTACATTTTATCCGTAAGAGGTAGAGAATATAAAAAGTATGTACTTACAATCCGGGTAATTCGCAGCGGTTATGATACCGTTAGAAAAGATAAATGCAAGCAGTCCCTCCATTTATTCGAATAATTAAAAACAAAAGTATAGGGCGATTATTTCAGTAATGGGTTTTTACGGAAAGTGGATAAATCCCGTTTTCGACAAGAGAAACAGCATTAACTTCGGAGCTTCTGGAAGGCTTAATACAATAAAATTGAAACAGAGGCTTCTAAACTAATTAATTGTTTTAATTCCACCTTATTTCGTCGACGCTGACGGTCGCAAAAAAAGACGGTGCTATCCGTGATATATGAAAAATAAAATTGCTTTGTAATGATAACTTGATAAATGAAAGGCTATTGGTTTTTCTTCTGGAATTAAAATTACTTTATTCAAACACAAAAGCATGGTTCGAATCAATTATATCTGAATATTTATGATCGGGCAGAAAAAAAAACGTAGTGAATAAATAATATAGATAATAAATAAATAAGAGGTTCGCAAACATATATTTCTTTTAATTGTAGGGAGCTCTATCTGAGTGGCTGATTCAGGAAGGCACACTACATTTTTCACTAAAACTTTATTTTTCCATAAAGGCATAAATCTTAACAACAACGCTTCTTTTTCGCACATAATACATAACAACCTAACCTCCTTCTTTTTCTGCCTAACCATAAACCTAAGATAAGAAGAACTAAGAACACTGAACACCTTACTCCTCTTCTTCTTCTTCTTATTCTTATTCGAATAAGTAAATCGCGCGGGATTTTTTTTGAATTTTTGAAACGGGTTACTGCAAAATTAATTTAACCTAACTTATAAGAATTATTGTTATATTTCAAAATACAAGTACAGAAGATGCAAGACAACAGTTTTCAAATTTGAATATAAAATATCTAATCTATCTATTCTAATGATGCATTTTAAAACTGATTTTCATATTTCTTTAAAAAGATATAAAATGAGAAACTGCAATGTAAAGAATTCCTTGGTCTTAGTTACATTATTATTTTCTGAAAAGAGGTAGTCATTTTCCAGAACAAAGTACCTAATCCGCCTGCAGAAAAAAAACTGTTTTTATGAGAAATGGTACCTAATTTGACCGAATAGACATTAGAATTAGAATTAGATATCAAAAAGGAATTGGGACATTAAAAAATATACATTTAAGATTTAGAAGTATGTAGTGGCGCCATCTATTTTTTATTGTGTGATAGTTCGGATTCACTTAATGGTCAACAGATGGCACTTTCATCATAATATTTCCAATTTTATAAATTTTAAATGATTTTAAGGAATATAAATCACTTAGTTTTTACTTCCGGGTACTGAGAATAATATACTGAAACCTAAACACGAAATACAAAGCACGACTGACAATTATTAGCATACACTGCGCCATCTATTGCTTGTTTTATTCATTGATTTTCCATGGTTGCTATATTCCTGTTAGTAATCTGTGGTCGCTATCGCCCGTGTTTACATTAATTCTCGATCGTGACTCCTAGATGGCAGGGATCATAAATTTTTAATATCTAATTTGAACTTGCTTCAAAGTGGCCTTTTGATACGCCGATTTTCCCGTTTATATAAAAAAATAATTATAATTTAATTATTGTACTGTTAGAAATATTGAGGTAATGCCTAATGAATTGTTCAAAATATGTGAACATTAATACCTATGTAAAAATGTAATGAATATTAAAAATTATATTTTATGTTGGTTGTAAACTTTGTCCCAAATGAAGAGTGATTATTAGATCATTTTAAGTAACGAATTAAATTGAAATAATCCGACGACTTTTATTCAAAGTACGCACTGTAATGTTTTATTAAAAACACTTCACGCTTTAAATTACTCAAAAAATAAATCTTTTTCGTACACCATGTTTTTTAAATATTTTATCATAAAAAAAATTATACAGAAATAATAATTTTTTATTACTATTCACTTTATACAAATAAAAAACCTTAAAAATTATAACTACAATTAAAATTAAAAAATGTTGCTCGTGAAAAAAATTAAAGCTGAAATCAGAATCATTGCATTGGAGAAATCAAATTTCTCTTAATAACTACAGTGGATATTTATACACAGCTATTTGAATTAATACATAATTTACTCGTTAACATATTAAAACGTTAAGCTTATTGGGTAAAATACTGTTACATGTTTATTATTGAACATTGCATGTTAAAGAGATCACTACAAAAACGATACAAGCCGTCCTGGAAAAATATACGTGACAGAGATAAAACATGATTCTTTCCAATTTAAATTTCTAAATAAAATATTTAAATACGTAACTTCCATAATAATCCAGAACCGATTTTTACTGCATCTTTCAAATCGATATAATAAATTGCATCGGATAAATGTATTTCTTACAACTCAAATTTTATTAATAATACACTGTGCTTCTTCAAAATACAGAAAAGTTAGCCACGAGCCTTATAACATGAGTATTAAAGCGTCTCAACACAAAAATCTTTTGTTCAGAAATATATATTTTTTTTCTGAAGATAAAAATAAAAATCATTAAAAATGGTTGAAATTACAACACTAATATTTAAAAAACTGTAAAGAATAATAGAAACACGCATTACTAATAAAATAAGGAAGACTCTTGTATTTAACACAGCATTAATTATACAGTGTGTCCCAATTTGTAGGTTCACATTTTTTTATGACCTATGAAAATTATTTTTATACGGACCTTCAAAAAAAATCATGGCATACATGGGACGTTACATTTGCTAAAAATGCATATATTTGATGTCTACTTAATAAAAAATGCTTGGCGTTCATTTAATTCTTACTTCTCAATGGTGTGTACATCTGTAAATCGGGACACATGAAATATAAACAACATTCGTTTTTACTTCGACTCGACAAAAACACGTTTCTCTCAAGGCATTAATTTTGTCATGGTTACACAATCACAATATTTGGAACTAATATATCTTACATTAAATTACCTAGTTTCTACTAAAATACTATTTTAAAAGCTTGTATACACGTAAAGCTGTTTTATTGTTTTTTGTATATGGAGAATTTAATTAAAAAAAAAAAAATTAGTTTTTAGTGATCCTTAGATCATCAAAAAATATATGACAACTTAGTCAATATGATCTAGGATCTCGTCTGCAATATTTTTTTATGTAGGAGTTTATATACAGGGTGGTATAGCCCAAGTTGGGCCTATTCGATAGTTCCAAAAAGAATAAAACAGACAAAAAAAATAGATATAACAGTTTAAGTTTGCATAATTCAAAATTCAAAAGGAATTTTATGAACGTTCGTTTTCAAAATAATCAATGCGTTAGAAAAAAATATATTTGAAAAACTGCCCCAGTAGCATTATTGAAACAATTAAATAAAATTTTAACATGTCAAATCTGATATTTAGTCGTCTTCTTTGAATATGTTGCTAAAAACAATGTTTTTGTATTCAAGAATGAGAAACTTCTTAAGGGGTCATATCGCTTTGAAAATATTTTTTTCTCAATCCTTTTTTATTGGCTTTAAATACGCTAAAACATTCCTAGATTCGTAATCAAAAACTTTTTTGCATGAAATATCCGTAAAATTAATTTTTCCGTAGCAATTCCGAAGCATAAAAATAGCAGATGTCGCTTCTATCCTCGATACAGCAATTCCGCTCACGTAAAAACGCCTATAACTTACGGATAATCGAAAAAATACTTCAAAGGTGAACCATAAATATCATTACAAGCAAAAAAACATTATACAAAATTTTCCAGAAGTTAGGACATTCTCAAACTTCAAATGCATTTTCCTCGAAACCATGTTTTTGAAATCGGCGAGCAGCAGAACTTAAAAAAGCTTTCATCCAATCGACTTGAAAATTGAACTGTAACTTCATAGTGTGATTATCTAGTGAAGGACATATGATTTTTACAATTGGTCAACAGGATTTTTTTTATAAACAACCAGTAGATTTTTTGTTGAAAATTCGAATTTTTTTTCAAGGTCTCGTCAGTTTGCGAAAAAAAATTCTTAAAATTATGATCGTGTGTACTTCACTAGCTAAACTCATACAGTTTATGAAAAAAATTTTTGTTTTGTTCATGCGCTTCTTCAGCCGCCATTTTGCAATAAATTTTCAATAAAAAAATTTTTCTCACTCCTGAAGAATTGCTTAATCGATTGGTGTATTGGTTGTTCCTGATTATTATAAAAGATTGCTCAAAAAAAATTCTTGAAAAGAGCCTGTCTTCGGGCTCCAAAGTGATATAACCCCGTAAGAGAGCTTTATAGCAACTAGGCAACCAGTAATACATTCTTATAGATTTTATTACACAGTTTGTCTAGACATGAATCAATGCACAAATAACGGACTTTCCTCCATTCCTCCACAGATTTTCTATAAAATGGAGTTAATTTGAAACTCAAATTACTTTTTAGTGTACAGAAATTTGTAATTTATGATGCAAATTACAAATTTCTTAACAACAAAAAGTAATTTGAATTTCAAACTAACTCTGTTTTATAGAAAATCTGCGTTCGAATGGAGGAAAGTCTGTTATTTGTGCACTGATTCATATTTGACATACAGCCCCCTTATTTACGTAACGACATTTTTTTTAAAGGTGCCTCAAAATACTATTAAACTTGACAAAAAGGGGGAAAAAGTTGTGACATTTGCAATAAATCTATTCGACGTTTATAGTAGAAATATGTATCCATCAGATTTTAGTATTTCACGTGAAAGTAACAAAAACCAAGGTATCAACAGTTTGGTTCCGGTAATTTTATTTGTTATAGCGGATGCGTGGAAAAATTCTTAAAAATTGAAAAAAATTTCTAGGAAAGACCACATAATTTTAGATTAGAATAGTAAAATGCTGTCGCAAAAGTAAATTAAAATTTAACTTTCTAAGGACAACGCGCACTTTGCGAGTTTGACAAAAAATAAAAAAATATTTGATAGATAATAGCAAATTTCATCGCTAAAAACTTACACTTACCTTTATTTTTCATTGTCCAGCAACAAATCTTAACGATCGACATAAAATAAACATTTAAAATAAAAAATATTGATATTTTTAAAACCGTTGTAAATGTTCGATAAAATTCCACAATTTATTAAAAAAAGGCCCTGATTAAAACCAGCAGTACCACCCTGCTCTCAACTAAAATAATACCGTATCACAAATAAAATCCCATAAACAATACATTACAAACTGATGTACTTTTTGTGTTTCTTATTATGGGACGACAGATCCGACGACGTGGTAAACTTCCGATCGCACATATTACACGCATACGGCTTCTCCCCCGTATGTATCCGAATGTGCACTTTCAAACTCGACGATTGAGTAAACTTCTTACTACAAATAAAACAAGTATAGGGCTTCTCCCCCGTATGCGTCCGCATGTGTTTCTCCAAGTACTGGTGCCGGGTGAACTGCCTGTCGCAGATCGTACACGTCGACAGGTTCTCCCCGGTATGCGTACGCGTGTGCTCGTGCAAATAAGCCGCCGTCGTGAACTTCTTGTCGCACGTGACGCAAGTGAACTTCTCCCCCGTGTGTTTCATCATGTGCGTTTGCAATTCCGAGGCGTAATTGCAGATCTTGTCGCACATGGTGCACTTGTAAGGCTGCTTGCCCGTGTGCTCCCTCATATGCACCGTCAGCTGGGAGGAGTGGGTGAATTTCGCGTCGCAGATCTTACAGCTGACTTTCTCTCCGGTGTGCTTGCGCATGTGAACGTTCAGGTGAGAGGACTGGGTAAACGTTTTATCACAATTCGAACACGAGTAGGGACGCTCGCCCGTGTGCGTCTTAATGTGTGAGTTCAGTATGTACGTGCTGGCGAACTTCTTGCCGCAAGTGACGCAGCTGAACGGTTTTTCTCCGGTGTGGGTGCGCATGTGGACTTTTAAATCGGCGGCCGTTAGGCACCTCCGATCGCAGCAAGTGCAAGCGTAAGGCTTTTCGCCCGTGTGCGACTTCATATGCATGGTGAGTTCGCCTTTTATCGTGAAACGTTTGTTGCATACTGCGCACTGGAAGGGTTTCTCGCCCGTGTGGCGACGAATGTGTTCCCTAAGGTGCGATGAATGATAAAACCTGTAAAATAGAAGAAAATTGTAAAAAAATTTGTTTGGCTCAATAAATTGTCAGTTTTACATGTTACAATGAATTAGACTCTATATCTGGTAGTTATTGAACGTGTAAACTGATTTTTTCCAGTAAGTCGCATCACGTGACTATAAAATTCATTATTACAAAAAAACCGATGTGTTTTAATGTTAATGTAAGAGATATTTGTTGGGTCAAAAATTGGCAAATGTAAAACAAGTTTAAAATGGTTATAAATAAATCTGAAAACGAACCTTTTCTCGCAATATTTACATTCAAAAGGCTTTTCGCCGGTGTGGGTCCTCATATGAATCCTCAAGTTTGCATTTTTTCTATACCTTTTCCCACATTCGGTACAAGTGAAAGGCTTAACATCAGAAGAATCCTGATCCCCTGTATTAGGAGTAGGGGGTCGAACTTGAATACCTAAAATCAAAATAGCACTGAAAAGTGATCGTTAACTTGTTTTTGAAGAACTTTCATTCAATACAAGCAACGGTAAATTAACATAAACAAGGAGGACCCAGAAAATTACATTTTACAAATATTTGTTTTAGAAATTAAGAAACACAAACAATTTTTATTATTGATGGCAGTCGCTTACCATAAATTAGCAAAATGACTAAAATCGTTGTCCATAAATGCCAAATTAGAACAATTTTCTTCGCTATATAATCAATGTTTGTAATTATCAGTAATTTACTTTAATTTAACTGGTAATAAACGGAACTGAATTTCTATACTCTACATTAACATACCAGTAGTGCGCTTAATAACTTGTCTGGGCTGTACAACTTGAATTTGAGGAGGAGGGGCCGCCTGAACAGGTGGCATATTTTGTAGCACTAAAGTATGCATCTCCTGGTGAGTTTGATGGTTTTGATGGTTTTGAAGATTCTGGTGAGTCTGATGATTTTGTTGCTCGTGTTGTTGGGTTTGCGTATGCAACTCAGGCAACTGTTGTTGTGGCTGCTGCTGTTGATGCTGATGCTGCTGCAGCTGTTCTGGCTGTTGCGTCGGTTGTTGATGAATCTGTTGCTGCTGCTGTTGATGATGTTGTACCGCGTGCTGGTTTTGATGAATGTGTTCCTGTGGCAGTTGTGGGTGTTGGAGTTGTTGGGTAGTGATATAACCTAAAATATTATGTTCTTTTCTTATATATAATGTGTAAGAAAACAAATTGTAAAAAAAGTGTATTTAATGTGTTTAATTTTTACCTGTTGTGGCAGCGTCAGGACTACTGCTTCTGGAAGTAGCGGTGTCCACCAAATTTTCAGCTTTTGTAAGTTCTTCATCGTTATCCAGGAAGTGTTTTAAATGGAGATATTCTGCATTCTGTGGTTCTTCTCCAATTAAAGGTATAACTTCATTGTTACTAGTTTGTAAACCAAATTCGAATTTTGTGGGCGTCATTAAAGGCCTCCCAACTATATTTACATTCTGCTTGGTGTCATCTAGATGACTAATATACCTATTTAATGTATGGTCTGACTGTAGGCAAACTATCCGAAAATCATAAGCAATTCTTAAGCGTTCTATACATGTCCCACATATTAGAGAGGGTAAACCCTCTTTTATCCAAGTCTGAAAAAAGAAATCCTATAATTTCCCATAAACGATAAAAACATGCTCAAATTTTGTTTCTTAAATGATTTTTTATTATTAAAAACAAATAAAGTAAACATAAGAGTAACAACAATACTATATGAGCTATTGTATTTAAAACCAAAGAAATGCAACACCAACCACTTCAGCAACACATGATACAAGTTTATCATGAAATTTAATTGAATCATTGTCCTGGGCACTTGTAGGAGTTAGAGTGCAATCTATTCTTAAACAAGCTCTACAACAATCGGCGACATTAATAACATCCATAACTATTTTAGATCATTAGGCACATCTACTATCTACTTATTCCAGTTGACGAAATTAACCTATTTCGATCATTACATTACTGTTTGCTGTTTACAGATAAAAATTTAAGAAAAAATAAAACAGGGTCTTTTGATTTTGATATGATCATGTTGGCCACATTGCGATTCTGGCAAATTAACATTCTTAAGTTGGCATTGCTTGGTTATGTTCAGAAAACTCTAAGAAAATCACATGGATGATAATACTACTGTACTATGAGTAGTCTTCATAGACTTCTAAGTATTATTAGATGTCTGTGGCAGTCTTAGAGCATCTTCAAGCATGTACTACTGGAGGTAGCCTGCCATTGCGAAAAGTGTGGCTGAGTATGCGACAGAGACAGACAGCTCGCCGCGATTGGTTGGAGCATTAATTTCCAAGCCAATCGCAACGTGCTAGAATGAGACAGCAAGTACTGATATACTGTCTGTCTCTCTCGCACACTCAGCCACACATTTTATGCAATGGCATGCTACCTCCAGTAAAAAAGTGTTATATGCTCGAAGTAGAGCATATACTACAGGACGACAGAGTAGAGTGATAGAAAGATAACAATAACGCCATTATTTTATCGATTTCTGGCTATTTCAAGTCGTCGTGATTAAAATAATCTTTTCTAAGCTATCTAGTGCATTTTCCTATACTTCAAAATAGTTCTTAGGTAAAATACGTAAGCAAATGAATTTAAAGCATAGCTTAAAATTAAAAATTAAATAATAGTTATGTAAATGACATAAGAAAAAGAAAAATAATTTATTTCATAAGAAAAAGAAAAATACTTTAAAACTAAAACCGACTTATTGAAATAGTGAACACACTCTATCAAACTGAAAAGATTCAAATATTTTCTATGAGAACTGAGAAGAAGAAGAAGAAGAAAACGATAACCTAAAACGCGCAAAATCGCATCTTTATTTTGTATTTGTATTTTATATTATTTTGTGGTGCGGTTTTGTCTAGAGGTGGGTGTTTAGCACAAAGAGCGAATTATAATTTTGAAAATAGTTTTTAAAGAAATAAATTAAATATATTTGTAATTGAAAGCCAAAAACGCTAGAAAGTGTAAGTACTTCTTTCAGGAAATAATTAAATTATAACCAAAAATTAACATAATCAATGATGACTATTGAAATTGAAACTGATTTTGAATTTTTCTAGAATTTTCCAATTGTCATAACTAAATAAGAAATGTCCGATACAGTAGATATTTCCCCAAATAAGGATGGAGGCGTCCTAAAACAAATAATACAAGAAGGAATTGGCAATGAATTACCACCTCAAGGGTGCAAAGTTAAAGTACATTACACCGGGACTCTTACAGATGGAACAAAATTCGATTCAAGCCGAGATAGAAACGACGCTTTTAAGTTTGATTTGGGAAAAGGTGCTCATTTTATTTGTAATTCTGTAACATCTTTTCAAACCCGGTCTTTTAGGTAACGTAATTAAAGCATGGGACATTGGAGTCGCCACAATGAAAAGAGGAGAAAGGGCAATTTTGACATGTGCTCCAGAATACGCTTACGGAAAAGCAGGCAGTCCTCCATCGATTCCACCGGATTCCACCTTAAAATTTGATGTAAGTAAATTGTTAAAAATGTGTGATATATTTTATACATTGATTTATGCAATTTCAGGTTGAAGTCTTGGATTGGCAAGGTGAAGATTTAAGCCCTAAACGAGATGGAGGTATTGAGAGATTGCAGATTACACCAGGAGAAGGATATACAACTCCTAATGATGGTGCAGTAGTCGAAGGTATTTGGCAAAATATATATTTTTTTTCATACTTTTATCTTTTGTCACGATTTAATTCTTTACAAAATTATGCCTGCTAAATTTTTTCCTTTTAAATGGTCAACAGGAAATGGGTTTTTATATTTTGTTTCATGTAGAAGAAAATAAATGTTATCAAAATAGATATGATATTCCACAAAGTCCTTGCGTAAACCACAAATTTGTTTACATATTGTTCTTTTAGTTCACGTGGTAGGCAAATATGAAGGAAATGTTTTCGAGGATCGTGACATCACTTTCACAATTGGCGAAGGTTCTGAGGCGAATATTATACCAGGCGTTGAACACGCTATAGAAAAATTTAAGAAACACGAAACATCTCGATTATTGATAAAACCGCAATATGCATTTGGCAGTACTGGAAATGCTAATTACAAAATACCTCCAAATGCCACAGTAGAATATGTAGTCACGTTAAAGAATTTTGAAAAGGCGAAGGAAAATTGGTCTTTAGGCGCCCAGGAAAAAATTGAACAGTCGAAACTTTTTAAGGAAAAGGGCACTGCGTATTTTAAAACGGGAAAATACGAACTGGCTATTAAATTGTACAAGAAAATACAGTCGTTTTTGGATTCCGAGAAAGGTAAGAGCGTTAAGAACAACATTTACGTTGAACGTTACTAATTTAATTGTATATGCCTGATATTTTTCAGATAGTGCAGTTGCCGAGGAAAGGAACTCTCTCCTTCTGGCGTCTTACCTAAATGTTGCTTTGTGCAACTTAAAGCTTCAAAACTACTTCGAAGCTAAAAACGCCGCGACGAGCGCTTTACAAATTGATCCCTTCAACGAAAAGGCGCTCTTCAGACGGGGTCAAGCATTTTTAAATCTAGGCGAGCCGACTCTAGCTAGCAATGACTTCACTGAATGTCTAAAAATCGACGCTAATAATACAGCGGCAAAAGCCCAGTTAGCGATTTGCACCAAGACGTTGAAAGAGCAGTTGCAAAAGGAAAAGAAAATATACGCAAACATGTTCGACAAGTTCGCAAAGATGGATACACAGGTGACGACAAATTAGTTTTATTACTTTTAGATTTGGTGATTTAATTGTCTTGCAATGTTTTAATTGTTTAAATAAATAGTTATCGTCTTACGTGTTTTATTTGTGGTGAATTGTAGAGAGAAGAGTTCGAAAAGACAAAGCAACCTAACGTTATGAGTTCTGTGGGTGAATGGGGGCAGGAGGATAGGGAGAGGGAGCCCAGCGAGTTTGAGAAAGAAAATCCGGATATATTGTTGCTTAACGGAACTGGAGAATTTAAAGATATGTAGATGCGATAAGAGGATTCCACTTTTTTTATGTTTTTGTTGGTCAATAAATGTAGCACTTCAATTGCGATACTTTTATTTAATACAAAACACGTATAATGAATCTGCCCCTTGCCCCATTATTTACATACATACAAATAAATTATTGATTAGGATCGAACAGCATGAATCGATTATTTTTAATCTTTATGTACAGGATTTTGCATATATCAGGTCATTAAGGTCATTCAAAAGATCCTAGTACAAAGTCCCTTCGATGTTTTTTCAAAATTTCTGCCACAGGTTACGATATTGGTCACTACGGTCTTAAGAGAACGTATTATGTTTCAGTTATTATTTAATTTTATTTAAAAATTACAGTATATATTCAAATTGTCTGCCGCCTTTCCTGATGCAGCCTCTGCACCTTATGAATGCCCTTCGGAGCTTTCATTTGTATCTTCGCTAACTAACGTAAAATTTAAGTTTAAGATTTTTTAAACAAGAACTATTTCTAGTTAAAAATTCTGACAATAACACAATTCAAGAATATTACGCAAAATAACTGAAAGATAACTTATGGCAAAACGTGTGCTAAACTTATTATTAAACAAATAGTGAAAAAATTTGTTTCCTTTTTTTCAACACAGTTCAAAAACTATTCATTTTAGAGAAAAATTGAAGAGGGAAAAATGATTCGTAATTAAATTTTACACGATATACCTATTTTCAAATAAAAAAATACAACATAATTATCGCAAATATAGCAAAAACAAAAAAAAAAATAGTGAAAAAAATTACAATACTTTTGAGATTTTTTAAAAAGTACTTACATTATTCTTGGCCAAAAAAATCTTTTTGATGTAATATAACATCACACCAATTTTCATTAAAATTGGTCTTATAGTTTTAGAGTAATAATTTTGCAATCTAGATTTTTTTAAAAAATTGAAAGTTTTGCAAATTTAACTGAGCCTAAATTAAGACTTCTAGATACTTGAAAATTTTATCACATAAAAAAGGGCACTCGAACTTTAAAATGCATCCAGAAAAATTGAAATCCGTTAATTAGGAGAGCCGTGGTAATTGTTTAAAAATATGCGTGAGTTTCATGCTCGTTCCAATAGTTTTAATCGACATTTTGTATGGGTTGCACAAGGGGACAAGGTTTGTAAAAAGTACTCGGAATGACAATGGTATTTGTTTAAAAAACAGCCCTCCAGACCTCGTAGTTACGCTACAAATGCCGGTCAACTTTGATCAACTATAACTCGAACCAATTAACAAATCGCCTCTTTTTTTTTAAAGAAGCGTCTTTCTGAATGCTTTAAAAGCATAATTTAAAAAAAATAATTATAATAAATTTATAGTTATTCCATTTGTTTATAAGCGCAAAAATTACGCATATCTTTAAACAATTACCACCGTTCTCCTAATTAACGGATTTCAATTTTTCTGGAAGCATTTTAAAGTTTGAGAGCCCATTTTTAAGTGATAAAATTTTCAAGTATGTAGAAGTCTTAATTTAGGCTGTTAAATTTGCAAAAATTACAATTTTTTTTAAAAAATCTGGATTGCAAAGTTAATGGGAAACTATAGGACCAATTTTAACGAAAATTGATGTTTTATATCAAAAATATTTTTTTTACCAAATATGAAGAGCCTACCTATAATTTTTTCACTTTTTTTTTGTCGTTTTTGCTATATTTGCAATAATTATGTTTTATTTTTTTATTTGAAAATAGGTATATCATGTGTATAATTTAATTACGAATCTTTTAGTTTCCTCTTCAATTTTTCTCTAAAATGAATAATTTTTGAACTGTTGAAAAAAGAGAAAAAATTGAATTTTTTCACTATTTGTTTAATAATAAGTTTAGCACACGTAGTGAAATTATGTTTTGTTATATCATTTTGGAGGCATTAAAGCAAAAATTAGTGATATTATATAAAACATCTACACCAAAACAGATCCCGCCTGGTCTAATAAGAGTGTTCTTTTTTTAATATCACCTCAAACAAGGCCGAAATGAAACAAAAACGGACTTCCGAAATTTGTTTTTTTCAAACATTTCGAAAACTAATCACGTTAGCCTTGATTTTTTAGAGACATATTGTTGGTCCCCATTTAAGCTACTTACCTCTTACCCTTTCCGAAATCCCTATAGTGAGAAGCGAATTTGTAACAGCCCGTATACAAGAAATCACGCTTTTATTAAAACAATGATACAAGAAAACTAAGGAAACTAAATACACATACCTACAAGCATGTGCTTGGGAACTTTTTATTTTGAGAAGTTTTATCATCTGGTAAAATTTGAGTTGTGCAATTCAGGACACCTTGTATAAAAGTTACCCAAATTTTAATACAAGTTCATGGAGAGATAGGGGTAAAATAAAGAAATAACGTTAGTAATATATATTTATTTGTTCAATATAATTTTAAACTTACAGTTATGTGTAATAAAATATTTAAAATAATACATTTAAAAAATAGTACGTGAAGTGCCAGGTGTCTATTTCTGATATAGAATTTTCAAGAGGAATATTTTTATGCGCATATCAACAAGCACGCGAAAATCGTCAGTCTGCGGCTATTAAAAAAAAAATTAACAGCCGCAGAAAGAACAAATAATTTATGTTCATTTAACATTAATATCTGTATTGCGAAGCATAAACAGCTTAATCAGTCTAGTCGATTTCACATGTTGAGACACTGTTTCACAGTAACCAAGTTCCAAAATATTTAATAAATATTCCAAAAATTTTTGAATTTTTACAAAAACTGCCTTGTCAGAGTTCTCATCAGCGGTAAGAATTAAACCAATTCTATAAAATATTGGTGTTAAATGTTGAATTGACTATAAATTTATTTTCATCGGCAAAGCCAACGATTTTTTTTAATTCGTTAATGAAACTAATTTAATTAGGACCAGCGTACACAACTTATTTTTATTAGCAACAAAACGATAATAAAAATAATCCATGCCTGCCACTTAATTTCTAATTACCTCGTACAAATAGACCAAAATCTAATGCAATAAGTTTAATATTAATTTGGTTAGAGAATCGTATAGATGCGGTTTAATTAGAAGCACCAATGTAAAAAATAATTTCTGCCCACTATTTCCGATTTTAGTAGTTTTCGACGAGTCAGATTTACTCGATCGTTAGTTAAAGTAGAGGGCGTACCGAACTGCATAGGCCAATCTTTACGCGACGATGCAACAAAATAACAAAAGGGTTCCATTGCCACAGGTTGAACGGGCCCATGGAAAAATGTTCCCCTTCTTAAACCGACATTTTTTCTTTTAAAATTTGAACTTCATTGCACGAGAATTACCTTTTACGTTTTTTTATTTAGTCACCCTCTTTCGAGCACAAATACGGAAAATAAAATTCAATTATATTATTTTGTATCAGACGATTAATGAGGTTTTTTTTGTGTAAAAAGCCTGGTCTTAAATAAGTGAAAAAATTCGTCGCGTGGAGACGGGGAAAAATTTTAGAAAGGCCACTCAATTCATCCGTTTCGTAGAGTGGAAACTAAGCATTTCCGAATTTACATCCAAGAAATCTTCTTCTTACTCTGCGAAGTTTCGTCACCAAGTAAAGTTTGGTTTGCGTGATTCGGAACACCCTGTTCGTGAAACTTTCCCGATTGGTTCAAAAGCGAAAAAAATCTGAACGTAGATGACCTGCTCATAATCGTAAACCTATAATTGCTACAAAGACACAGAATCTTCCCTAAACAGTGATCGGAGGTGGACTTGAGTCGTAAAATTGTCAAACATCGAATGCTAAACGCCGTCTGGCGGGGATTTGGAACGAAAGTGACACCTAAAACATCAATTTGGTGTTCGATCTGTGTACCGCAATAAATATATTATACTCGCCAAATCACACGTTCTTTGGCCGGCTACCATTGCACGGTTAAATGCAAGCGCTAGAAGTCAGGTCTATAATGCGACAAACCAACGAAAATACTGATAAGACTGTAAAAAGTACTGTATACGGGTCACAAGAAAAAAAAAAAAGAAAATTTCGCAGGTTTGTGTCAATAAAGCACCCGAGGAAATCAACAATAACGCAGTCGAATTTATATACAAAACGAAAACAAAAATGAAAATAATACAGTCAGTCGCAAAGAAAAACAATAAATCAATAATCAGTCAATACATCACAAATTATAATAATAATTAAATAATACACAATACTTTTCACACGTAGATAGACCGACTGTTTATAGCATTATTGAGAGAATACACTGTTAAAATGCATTGGTAGAATACAAATGAAAATGTTAGTGGTAGGTCTGGTGCTCTTATTTCTTTTTTGTTGTTGGGTTCCGCTGGGGGGTGGATGGGCGCCCTGCGTTGGTGCCCTGGTACTGGTACTTCGCTTTCTTCTCTGAGGGCTTCAGAATCTAGAACGACAAAATTGAAAACAAAAAGAAAAACATTACGTTATTCTAAATTGTAATAATACTAATACAAAATTAATTAACTAGCCTCCACTTGTCTACGCCGTCACTGGGCACTCCCAAACTCGGTTGTATGCGCATGCATTAGCGTTCTCCGTTACTGTATTAAACTAACGAAACAGCAATAAAAAATTACCTGAAAAGAGCACATGAGGGTCTCGTCGACACTCATCATTCCCCCAGCGTTGTCGAATTCTCCGCAATAATTTGGCGCCGAGAAGAGGGTGACCAGCTGCCTCTTGGCGAAAAACTCATAGCCGTCTTCTACCACCTGGTGAGCTCTACATATAAGATCTAGGTCGTGGCGATTTAAAAATTTGCTAACGACATCCGCGCCAAAAGTAAACGACACGCCACGGTCGTTCTCGCCCCAACCCTGGACGTCCTTGTCCGGGTCCGACCAGAGAAGGTCGCACAGTAGACCTACGAGAGTGAGGTAACAGTATTACATCGATACATTTGTAACAGCAATGTAGCCACCAAAAAGCCCAGATATAAACCATATTGATTTAATCAATGCAGTAATCTTGGCCGAAAAATTAAGGTTGTAAATAAAAATTAACTTTTATTAAATTATTAATTCAAGGCTTTCATTTTATTGTTGAACGATGCATGCCAGACAAAATTATTATCCGTCGATTTGCAATTTGCAAGATATATTAAACGCAGTATTCAGCTGTCTTTTACCTGTGTCTGGTACATCGGTTGGCCTCATAATGCGCCTGATTTGTTCCATGCCCTGTAAATCCGGGCTGAGACCCCCATGGCAACAAAATATCTTTTCGTCGATGATAGCGGAAATGGGCAAGCAGTTAAAGCAATCAGTGAAGGTTTTCCATAGTTTTATGTTGAACCGCCTCTTACCTACAAGTAAAATATCATGAATGTAGAGCAGAAATCGATTTTTGTTTGTACGAATCACTCACATTCATCGTAGAAGCCGTATATTCTGTTAATGGAGGCGCACTCGTGATTACCTCGAAGCAAAAAGAAGTTTTCAGGATACTTTATTTTGTAAGCAAGCAAAAGGCATATTGTTTCTAATGACTGTTTGCCACGATCCACGTAATCACCCAAAAATAGGTAATTGGCCTCTGGGGGAAAACCACCATATTCGAACAATCTCAATAGATCTGTGTACTGCCCATGAATATCACCTACAGAAAAGGATAAATCTGATTTTTATGTATTGGCCTTGTCAAGAGTGACATTAGAACAACATAAATACGAGACATTTCTTCAAAAAATTACATTATTTAAGTTTTCCTATGTCAGATATGTGTTTCAATATTTTATAATAAAATAAAAATCAGTACATTAGTTTTGACTTCAATGAGCTTTTCAACATTAATCAATATATAATTAATAGTTGGTATAAACCAAAGCTGTCGATTGTAAATTTTTCAACAGATCAAATTTAATTTTATTCTTTCTTCTAAGAAAATTTAATCACAGAATTATTTTTGATATTATTCTGAAATAATTGCAATGTTCTTTGTTAATTTTAAATGGTCAACCCACATCTGCTTAGAATTTCAACAAAGAATTTTTAAAACAATACCTAAAAGCGAACACAAGTCTATTAGTCTACGTTAAATTAAGAATAGATCATTTTAGGTAAATGATTCATCCTAAAGATTCTATTTTAGTTCTGGACTATTTTTAAATGCATATACCTAACCTTAAACTACAGTACCTATTACATTTTAATCCTGTATAAAAATAAAATTTATGAGATAATTAAGTGGTAAAGGAGTATATAATAAAGTACAAAAGTGATGATTCAATGTGCCTCAATTAAAATTAATGTTGATAGGAATCATGCCTTGGTTGGTCTATTATTAAATTAATATCTATGAATTTACAACACCGGATATTTAAGATAATCCGGGATTATATGTTATTGCATTTATACACGTTTTGATTTTTTTCTTTGAATTACAGATCAATTTGTGTTTAATATTTTCAGCTCCTCAGTTTTTAAATTCCTGTCCTGTATTAGCAAGCATGTGGGAAGTAAAGATCACATATGATCTCTCAAATTAAGGCTTGTTATATCAAAGTGTAGATACTGTCATCAATTAACCAATCTTGATGAATTATCTTGAACTATAACCAGATTCTTAAATCATTGTTATATTTATCTGATAAGCAATTTATGAGATAATAAAATGTCCTAGAGCTTCTATTTTTGAATGTAAGTATCACAATTTTATGCATAAAAAATGTTAAAAACAACAAGGAACAAAGAATTAAAGAAAACTTCAAATAGTTTACATTGATTAATTTTGTCGAGCAAATAGATTCAGATAGCACCAAATCGTTAAAATAAAAATAGTTTTGATTTCCTTTCGATATTGAATCTGATTTTATGACTGAAAGTATTGTAATGTAAGCAGCTTTATTACTTTCTTACATAAAGGAATATTACAACAAATATAAGTATGTTTTAACAGTGATTTAATGCTTCATTTATACATAAGTACTTTTATGCACACAATTTCTGTGAATTGCAATAAAAAATATAAATTATGAGGCAATAAACATTAATTTAGTAATAGTGCCATGAACAATTACAAAGAAACCAAATAAATATAAATATTAATTACTTAGTAGCTTAAAGTAATATTTTATGTCTGTCACTGAAATATGTTTTAAAATGTACCTGTTTTACGAATTTTATTTAAAACTGTTCAAATTTAACTTGTTAGAAAACAGATTTGTACCTAATTAATACCTAATCAATTCAATTTGACATTTTCTTGGCACAAATCATGGACTTTGTGTACGCAATAGATCATACTTTGCTATTTACATTACGCACTTGCGTGGGAGATTGGACACTCACCGCAAATTTTCAATGGAGCTTCCAGTTCAAGTAGTATCGGTTGTTGAAGAAATATTTCTCTGGACTTCAAACATAGCCCCCTCACTTCTGCCTCTGTCATATGTACCGATTTTCCTGGGCGACATCCTCTAACTGTAAAAACAGTTGTAGGAATTGAAGCATAGTAAAAAAAAATAACATTTAAGTATATTATTTCCAATAAGCTGACGTAATTAACGACACGCAGATTCTTCTCTGAAAATCCTTGAAGAAAATTGAAAAACGATAATAATTTTAATTTTAATGTTTTTTGTTTTGAATAGCGGCTTATATAATGTAGTACATGGAACATACAACGAAGGAAATAGTTATCCTTAGCCCAAAAGTGATTTTCCAAAGAGAATAAACATTGAATTTTTACCACATTAATATTTATTACTCCCAATACATAATTATTGGGTAACCTTGTAGTATACATCATCATTTTGCAGCAATTCAGTTAAAAAATGTATAAAAATAATATGTCTGTAATTAATAATGTTTAAATATGCTATAACAACCAATGTTTATGGATGTTTTTGACACTGATAAACTGTTAATACAAACACTTGAAATTAGTACCTACTTTTTACATAAATATTGATTTTGTAAATTACTGTACTTAATAAAATATGTATCAAATTCTACTGAAGTAAGATATGTATATACATTTCAAGTACAAAAATAAGTAATCAGCTTTAATTACTTTCTTAGTAGATACCTAAAATACTGACATAATTGAATGTACTCTACATCAGTAGTAAAACATTTCTATGTTTATTAGACAGTAGGAACGTTAAATAAAGTCTAGGTTTCAAGATGTGATGTATCTACAGAAAAAAATAATAATAACTTGTATTTCTCAACACAGTAAAAAAATATTTAAATACAGAATATTAACTACTACTAAGAAATATCGCTACGGTTATTAGCCTTACGTTCAGATGACATGAAAATGTCTTTGAATTTAGATTTCTTCCTTGCATCCTGGTTTTCTTGTAACTCCCGCTGAGTCTTATACCCTGTACCCCCAACATCACACCAAAAGCAGCACAAAAATAAACACTTAGACTATTTATTTATATATACAAAACCGAAATAAACGAAGTGTAAAAAGCTTTACTAGTGTTTAATAAAGGTGAAATAAAGACAAAATGTATAACAAATCCCTTAAAGACGTATTCTGTACTTAAAATCGCTGAAGGAGAAAGTTTTTAATTTATACCTGTAAACTATAGGATTTGACAGGTGCATAAAAATTATATATTGAACGGATACATGCAACTTTTTATAATATTATAAAGACACAAGACCAACAACACGAAGTATATTCAAATTATGCAATTATTGCTTACCTTCTAATAATCTTTGTATTAAATTGTCGACGTTTAATTCGGGCTCTGCCATTTTACTTAACTAGGAAACTAGGAAAATTAGATTAATTTGGTGCCAACGTTACAACTCCACATTGTACTATGGGACTCAGTAAAACAAACTTATGCAACACATAATACAAGAACATGTATTCGGTTTTATTAACTTGAACAATTTACATCCAAAAACGATTACAATATTTTATTCTCTTCCATGTCCATGTTTTTCTTTTTAAATCAAACAAAGAAAATGCTTATTATTAATATATGTTTTGTTGGTTATTTGCAGTGAAAACTACCTCGTTATTGATTTTATAAGCTAGGATATCCTCCATTTTGAGCACATTGTTCCCATTGGGATTGGGTATTATCATGAAACGACCTTTTCGAGGTCTACCTTGCTGCCTTGACCAAATAAAAATTATTGAATAAAGCTAACCTCAAATGTCAGAGTTTTAAATTTAAATTTTAAAATTAATATTTTCATTCTATTTTCCATTACATTAATTGTTTGTGATTTAAATGAAATACGGACATATTTCTACTTGAGAAATGTCTACACGATGGTAAGGGTTTATTTTTTGTTTCAAGGGAAATTATCTCTTAATTTTTAGGTATCCAGTTTACCAAAAAGGCGGTCCACAATTGAGGGTGTTCTTACCAAATTTTTGGTTAAAATTAGTGCGACCAACACACGAGCAACCCCCAAATGTAGTTCAGTTTGCTTGTTCAATGCAAATGACGAAACATGATGTTAAGAACTACCTAGAGAAAATTTACAACATTAAATGCATCGATGTAAGAACAAGAATACATATGACAAAAACAAGAAAAGATCCGGGGAAAGGCTATGTGGTTAAAGATGATGATATAAAATATGCATATATAGTACTAGTAAGTTATTATTCTACAGTATAAATTATTATTTAACTTCGTTATTGCAGCCAAAAGGTGAATCTTTTAAGTTTCCCGACCTGTTTAAAGAGGAAGACAAACAAGCAGAATCAGATCATGAAAAAGCCATAAAAGAAGCCAAAAAAGGGTACCAAGAATTTCTGGATAAAAATAAAAATAGACCCAGCCTACCTGGTTGGTTTACAGTGTAGTAAAATTATTTCATACTTTAGTTATTAAAATAGTGATTAATTAAATTGTCAAATTATAATTTTAATGAATAAAATTATCCATGGCAACAAATTGTTAAATCAATAGTGGAGGTTTCTTGTCGTATATTTTTGTGTTAAAATGCGTGTAACGTTTTGCACTGATTTAGATAAAAGTGTTGTGGTAGCAAATTGTGAGAAACGTGGCTGGGTACAGGTTGGTCCCGAAGATGAATGGAATATTTATTGGGCAGGAACGATGACTTGCCGCAGTCTCTTTAGCGTAGACAGTGGATATCGCATGAACGATAACCAGTAAGCATTATTTGAAATGATTCCCTTAACCTTTTATAAAAAGATGAGATAAGTATTTTTAAAATTTCAATCCAGTTTAGATATTACGAACGCTTTGCTTAGTTTGCTTTCTATATGTTACTCTCTTTATCAATTTATTTGTTTAGAATTATAAATCATTTTCCCAATCACTATGAAATATCTCGGAAAGATCTTCTAGTAAAAAATATAAAGCGCTACAGGAGAGATTTGGAAAAGGAAGGTAGCGGTTTGGCTGAAAGAGGTGATTCCAAGTACCTTCATTTAGACTTTATACCTGTAACGTTTGTCCTTCCTGCGGATTATAATATGTTTGTTGAGGAGTACAGAAAAGCGCCCCAGAGTACGTGGATTATGAAGCCTTGTGGTAGATCTCAAGGTTCGGGAATATTTTTAATAAACAAGTTATCAAAGCTGAAGAGGTGGTCGAGAGAATCCAAAACGCCTTTTCAACAGCAACTTGGTAAAGAAAGCTATGTAATATCTAAGTAAGTACTCGTTTATTAGTAAATTTTATAACTGGTTATTTTATTTGTTGTTTATAGGTACATTGACAATCCCCTGCTAATAGGTGGGAAAAAATTCGATTTGAGACTGTACGTTTTAGTAACGTCTTTTAGACCTTTGAAAGTTTATCAGTTTCGTTTAGGATTCTGCAGGTTTTGTACAGTAAAGTACGATTCAAGTGTGGCGGAGCTTGATAATATGTATGTACATTTAACAAATGTGTCTGTACAAAAACATGGGGTAAAAATGAAATATTTCACACTTATGCGAGTGTAAAACTTTGCTCTTTAGGGTGAATATAATTCATTACACGGTGGAAAGCTGAGTGTACAGAATTTGAGATTACATTTGGAAAGTACGAGAGGAAAACAAGTCACAGAAAAGTTGTTTGATCAGATTAGTTGGCTGATTATTCATTCGCTCAAAGCGATAGCTCCAGTCATCGCAACGGATCGACACTGCTTTGAATGTTATGGCTACGATATCATCATAGACAACAAACTTAAACCGTGGCTAATTGAGGTAGCTGGAATGTCTAAAATATACAGTGTTTCAAAAAATATCATTAGAAGTTTTTTTATTATTTGTTTTTTTCAACATATTTCAAAAATGACTATTATGTATACAAAACTTAATATACTTATATTTGTTTAATAGATTTAAAGCAACTTTATAATTTGAAAAGTATTTATTAAATCTAAATTATTATTTTAGAAACGAAGTAATAACAGTTCCATATTGCTAGGAACTGTTTGTATTATTTTTTAATGATCTCTCCTCAAAAAATGGCACGTTTTTTAAATATTTTGAGAACCGAATACCGAATGTAATACTACAGTTAAAAATTGAAAAGCATTTTCCTTGTCCAAATTTAAGAATATGTTCTTATATAAACTGTTGAGTGGCATAAAAGAAATATGTTTCGTCACTTTTGTAACGCAAATAATTTCTTACCTTTATTGTACAGTCTTCACAAATGATCACAAGTCACGTGACCAGTACTTAATTTTGTTTGAAACAGTAATTTTATTTCCTTGATGTTGGCAATTAAATTTAGATAAATTTAAAAATTATTAAAACAAGATCAAAATTACATTGAAACAACATTTCTGTTTCACCAACTGTGATTGGTTTTATTTTTTCACGGGAACCATTAATATTGGTGGTCGAGATTTAGAGATTTTTCGGTATAACTGTTTTACATGGACCTTATTTATTCATGAATAAATTTACGAAGTTCTTCATGAATTAATTCAGGAATTTATTGGTAAACAGTCTGTTTTTACACTTCTATACAGACAATCACGTTTTTCGACGCATGAATCAGTTCTACCAACAAATCAAAGAAGCAAATAAATTTCAAAAATGTCACCTTTCCGTTCATAATTGTAATCAGTAAAAACAATGCAAAACTAGTACACACCACACAATTATTTACATATTCCAATAACATAACCTCATTACTGATCTGAGACTGGAAATCTGTTGGATTGGTACTTCTGAACTTGATGAAGACATTGATGAAAATTAAACATATTCTAATTCGTCAAGAACTTGATGAATAAATTCATGAAGTTATTTGACAGCAGATTTGGTGCATTTACACTTGTCCAATTTCTTGATGAAGCGAATTCATCAATAAATTATAAATTGTCAGTGTAAAACAGCTATTTTACAGAAGCAGCCCTGCAACGTTGGTTGCCTAAGCTCGATGATCACATATAGCTTTTAAACATTTATGAATAAAGCTGTGTACACTACCATCTATTTTAGCACAAATTCACAATTTGTAAACAATGTAGAGTTTATCAAAATTATTTCACAAAACGTATTAAAAATGGGATCTCTGTACCGGAGTACTATGTACTTTTCAGTTCCTCTGCTCATATGCTCTCTTACTCTTTTAAAGATGATAAATTTTCTTTTACCCTTTTCTTTGATTTTAACACCTTGTTTTTCAAAAACGTGAGCATGGTCATTATATCAGAAAATGTTCTTAAATTTTGACGATTTAACACCTGTAACACCCGGTATAACTATTTTTTAATTCGTTTAGGTCAACGCTTCCCCGTCCCTAACATCCACCACAGCAAATGACAGGATATTGAAACATAAATTATTAGATAACATATTTAACATAGTCATACCGCCATCAGGAATACCAGAGTGAGTCCAATACAAAAATTAGAAATTGTATTTTTTGGTTTTTATACCACACTTTTTTCAGCGTTAGGTGGAATAAAATTCCATCACCACAAGCACTGGGTGACTTTGAATTGTTGATTGACGAGGATCTTGTTAATATACATGAAAGTTCAGAAATCGCAAATTCCAGCAGAAGCAGCTTCAGATGGAAATGAAAATCATACTACTAGTAATTAATAGAGTGTTAAATATAATTCAATATTATTTTAAAAATACAATTTTTAAGTGTATCAATTTTTATTGTAAAATTTGTCTTTTGAGTGTCTAATATAGATAAATACCCACCGTTTTTCTTACAATACAGAATCATTTAAACATCCTGTACAACTCATTATTACACAATATACGTATTTTTACATAGTAAATCTCGTTCAAAATATTTCATACATCTGTATGAAAAGTGCTATTATTGGTCATCCTATCAACTAATTGCCTTAATTTTTGGTACACTTATAACCACTGTTTCAGAAATCTTGCTTTTTGCTACTGCTTTTGAAATATAAGTCTTGTCTTCTCTCTTAAAGATGATCTTTTCCAATCCTATGATCGGAGCCTCGAAGTACATCGTTAAAATGAAACCAATAACGTATGAAACAACTATATCGCCGCAAGTGTCGTATAACTAAAAAAAAGAAAGATATCTCCGATTAAAGCGATCTTTGTATGTAATCAACTTACAATATTAAACACTCCAACATATCTAGGAACCCTCATAATAGCAGAGGTGGTTATTTGTACTGCACCGTGTGATAAAAATGCAGTATAAGTTATTCTGCTTAAGAATATTAGGGGTTTCCATGAAAGAATTGGTTCGATCCAGGCTGAAACATGAAAAATGTGTGAAAAAATCAGGAAAATAGACCGATCAAAATAACTCATTTAGAGGAAAAAAAAATGTTTCCTGGACTTTTTAAGTGGAAATGGTAAAGGGGCTTATAATAAACGAAAAAAAAAATAAATGCGTGAGCAGGGGTGGCGGAGGGTTGATTTGGGGGGTTGAAAAGTTGTGAAAAATTGTATCATTGGGATTTCTGGCGAAAGTTGACGTCAAACAAAAAAATATCCATTACAAAAGTTGTAGATCATGCAAAAATCTATAACTTTTGTAGAAGACACTTTTTAATATAACTTCAAAATTTCCGAGAAAAATGCGAAAAACAGGTTTTTTTCTTATTTATCGTTGTTTATTTCTCCTTTCCGTAAAAATAATTTAATTTTGACGAAACTTGGTGAAAGGTGAAAGTATACCTTTCTGTGTCTTAAATAACCGCACATTTTTTTAGAAAAAATCAGGAAGTGTCCGAGATATTCATGTTTTTTGGTCTGAAACTGAAATCCAAGCAAATTATGATATGGTTTATCTGCTTTATTTCCTAAAAATGGGGAGGTGCCATACGCGAATTTTTCGTCTAAGTAGCTAATATATAAACTCAAACGAGAAATATGCAGCTCTAACAGTATGGTGAAATCAAAAAGGATTTGCTGCATAGATATTTCTGTAATCTTACCTCCATTCCCTGATGAAACTGCAATGATAATCCAAGACATGCAAAGGCTGAACGTAAAGTGATGCAATGAAGCGTAGAAAGCGGAAAAAATCGTGTCGTGAGGGTAACCAGGTATGTAAAACACAAACGCAGTGTACACTGTTATGGAAACGACAACCACACACATCATCCACCCAACGTATAAAACATGTTTGGGCATTTTGTAGTTGGTAATTTTCATTTGGTATTTTATATACGCTGTTATTATCCCTAGAAGGTAAGGACTGGCTCTCAAATGCGAGGGTATGTAAATGTTCCTAAATGTTTTATTTAGAACTGGGTCCTTAAGCAACCTGGAAATGTTATAATTTTCGTTAAGTAGGTTCATAAATGGAACTTGAAAGAAATATTTTTCATTGTGGAAACAGTTATATCCATAAGAGTAACTAAATAAATTTAGTTACTCTTATGGTTATATCTATAGCTTTGTTCCTAGAGCAATCCAATATAATTTCCTGCAAGTTATACACATGTGCATTTCGATATAATGTTTGCATGGTTTCGAATCAAATGCAACTGCGTTTGGCTGTTGGAAACTGTTTGCACTGGGAACAAGGTTTAAATCTTGCTGTGAGAGAAAAGTCTAGTAATTATTATGAAGACCAGATGACTGAAACCTAAATGAATATGAACTAACTATATATCCGTGGTTAGAGTTAAATTAATTGCAGTATAGTCGACTTCCTACTTACTTTATATAGAGAAGCAGGATTCCATCTTCATTATTAACGTAAACAGTAACAAAAACGGCGAAGATAGACGAGATGATTAGGCTGGCTACGGTTAATATGCCGGCTGTTGGTTTTTTTCGTAATAGCCAAACAAGTAGAGGCACGCAAAGAAAATAATGCATGTCACATGTCAGGTACCAAGATTGAAACATACACTAAAAAACGTACAATTTTTTTATATAACAGTTGAATTAACCCCTCATGTAATACATGCAACAATGCATATATCGATTCCATTAATCAAACTTGACGTCTATTTGCTTTACACTTTGCACTAGATGTGTTTATCAGTGTGGCTGGAATCGACAGAATGTTGCATTTTCGTGTCAATGTATGCCATGATTCCGTCAGTCTTTCTCTCAAGTGACGTCATCACATTTGCGTAGGCACACCATATGTCAAAAGATTTTATAGATAAGGTTGCTTTGACAACTGACAGAATACAGAAACTGAATCGTGATTTTTATGATCTACAGCAAACTGATAAATGAACAAATGCACTCCATTTTTGTATTTTCGCTGCCCAGTCTGCTTCTAGCGACACTAATAAACATATCCACTTTAACACACTTGAAAATGCATCTTTTGGAAGACGATTTGATTTAAGGAAAAAAATTACTTACTAGTTTGTCAACCATTGCGTAATTGTTTATATGTAACAAGTTCGTCCACCAACTTTGCAGACACCTTTCTTGTTCCAATCCCACCCTTTCCTGCCAAAACGGTCCAGACCCAATCTTGACGAACAAGGTGCAGTAAAATGCCAGAACTATGACATACGCTGGCAGCATCCTACATTTATTAATTAGATAAAAAAATATATTCTGCAAGTTCTTTAGAAAATTATTGTTCCCTCAGTAACAAAAGTATCACCTACCTAATTATTCTGTGAAGATAAATCATGAGTATGTTCGCATTAAATTTGTGTTTTTCGAAAAAGTGTATAATCAGATACGTCGCTAGAAACCCAGAAATTACAAAAAACGTATCGACTATTATGGGTCCATTTAGGAATACCGTTGCTTCTACTCTGGTATACATCTGTAATAAAATAAGAGATTACGACTTTGACTCCTTTGCGTTGATTTTGGAAAGCTTACCTCTTCTATAAACTTTGGGTTCGTCATCGGAGAACCAAAAGTGAACATACATCTGTGCCCCATTATTATAAAACACATTGACAAGGTTTTCAGTCCAGATATGCAATCCAGTCCATCTTCATTCGTACTTTTAGATGCCAACTTTTTCATATTATGCGGAAACGAAAAGCACATGATTATTTTATGAAATTTACCTGAAATATGTAAGACCCTTTTAATTAAAGACGTTCCTTTTTAGAAGTAAAACTTACGAGAAACTTTGTAATGGTCCATGTTGTCCATTTCTGTTGCCAAATGATATACAGAAGCAAATATAACTATTACTACGAATATAGTAATGATAGCACTGCAATAAAGACTTAGTTTTAACAATACAAAACGTTTATTTTAATAAATCTTAGGTTCTTTGCGCAACAATACTAAACGAGGTGAAGATAAATAAATAAATATTATATGATTCACTTACATGAAAACAATATCAGCGGTAGTGAAACGCAGTTTTTCCACAACTTGACAACTTCTTTCGTCTACATCCACAGTCACCTCAAAGTCGATGATGCTGTCGTAATTAATGATTAGTCTTTCCAAAGAGTTTTCCAAATCTTTATTGGTACATGAAGATGGCAAGCAAAATGACAAATACAGATCGTTTCTTGATCCTTTTGACACGTCTTGGGAGAATACCTAAGGTAGTAGAAAATGAAATGCATACATTTCTGGTAGTGGAAATGAAGTGGAATATTTATTGCTTGTTCATTCAATTTAAACGAGTTTTACACATAATTATATCGTTAAATTTTGCTTTAAAATAATGCAGAAAGTAAAACTCTAAACACTGTATTTTAATAAGTTAATAGTAGTAATACACAGGGCTGCCTGGGATTTAAAAAAAATAGATCACTAAAAAAAATTGCAGAATTCATAGAAGCTCGTTTTACCAGGTTCCGGACGTAAAAAATTATAAAATACTATATGTAAGTTGTTCACGTAGCATTAGCAATAACATATTTAATTTAAATTTTAATTAACACAGCAAACATGAAGTTATTACTGCATATATAAAACTTTATTGGAATTTGCGATATGGAGATTAGGTCGCGTATTTTCTTCCGTATCTCGCAAGGACTTTTCGTCACTGTGAGAAGTTATAAATACTTTAATGTTTCTCCTAAAATGTATAGGAATCATTTGTGCAGTTAGTAGTCTTTGACGAAAAGTCAAAATATGGAAACTCGAATCATCATTTAAGGAACATCAGCTGGAAATTTATATACAATGTTCAATAACTTCCACGTAATTCTAAAATAGTTATAAATAACAATAGATCAGTTTATTTTAACTTACTGTGATCTTTTCCCAAGTGGAGATGTTAAAATACTCTTCATAATTATCACGGACGTAATCTATATCGTGATTGAGGCCTAAATAATCAGGAGGTTTCACCGTAAATTTGGCCAAGCAATATTTTCCGGTAAACTCTTCCCTATAAGGCACTCTCACTTCAATGCACTGGTCGAAGTTGCCCAAACTGTAAATGGAACCGTGCAGTACGCCACTGGGAAATTTTGCTGTAGCATCAAACACTGAAATGTGAGAATTCCGCATATACAAAGTGAAAAAAGAAAATTGCGAATGTCTACGTAATGTCTATATTTTTTTATTCATTTATTTGAAAAAATCCTTAACATTTCTCACTTACTTTCAGTAGCCCACAGCCTGAAATTTTTCAGCTCCCGCAAGTAATACTGGCTATGTTCCCGGCACCTTTGGTTTTCAGAATTCAACGTCGGGATAAATAATTCCATTGTGTCTTTCACACTTACATCTTTCAAGTTAAATAAATTTTGCACTTCTAGTCCGCTACAGTCTTTGAAGTAAAACACTAAAAGGCACCAACACCAAAGAGGTCCTGTCATTGTCGCACGCGTGTGAACCAAGTCAGAAATGTCTCAACGTCTTGTCCAGACACTATTTTTATACCTATAGGGCAGTGATCATTGGCCTAATGACATGGAAAGGAAAAGTACAGAAATCAATAAACAATAATACTTCTGTCCCTGTGTGTCGTATTTTCCCTCGTCTATCTGTTTTCTTTTTTTTTAGATACAGTCTGGAAATGTTTTAATGCCCATAATATTAAATTTGTGAAACATTTAAAAAACTTCCTTATAAAAAATTTACAACAATTGAGAAAATAAATTAATTATTAAGGAATGTTACATGTTTATTGTATGCAATGTAGTTGATTTTAATAAAATACAATTTTCAAAAAATATGCCATAAGTTTTTCTTGATTACGTGTGTATTAATCTTTGAAATATATACATTTGTGCATTTTTTATCAGAATTCATTTCTTAGAAAATACTTAAGTTTTAAATAATTTCTGAAATGTCTACTTACCTATATTCCCATATATTCTAATTACGTTTAAGAATAATATTGATTTCAGTTACAAGTAAATACAAAAAATATATTCCACACACTGTTAATGACTTGGTAATGTATGTCAGGTTTGCTTAACTATCAGTTAATAGCAACTAATATTTACCAACATTGTTTTTCTTGTTTTGCAATACCGATATTATAAATATACTTTAAAATCGTTTTATAATGAAAGTGAAAGTGTTGGTCCGATAATAATTCACACTAGAAAATTCGTAGAAGGAACATTTTTATATCAATCGGTTCAGTGCAATTGCATTTGAGTAAAAAAATTATGTTTACTATTATTTTAATGTTTATGTATTTCAATCCTATAATACACATTGATAAAAGTAAAAAATTGAGCATCAACAAATTTTTAATAAATATTAACAATAGGCAGTCCTAGAATACATGTTATTAAAAATTAAAAAATGGTACCTGCTTTAACAAAATTTTATTATATAAAATCCCACTGTCGTCACATTTTGCCAATAAGATTTTGTTACATTGGTAATTTTCATGTATCATAGGGTTGCCTATTGCTAAAACAGATAATCCTATCGTATAGGGTTTTGTTTAGTAAACATTATTAATGTGCTATTTTGTGTTGTATTTTATTGTAAGTATCTATTTTATATATTATCAAAAATAAAAATAGGGCTTCTGCTAAATAACGAGCGTTCAAATAAAAACGTGGTCAAGTTGGTTCTGAAAATTTGGACGTAGGGCGTAGCGTATAGCAAATGAACTTAAACGTCATCTGTCAAAGCGCTATATCGCCGCTATCAATTTGAATATTTTCGTTTTAAAAAGCGTTTAAAATGGTGTTTTCTCAAGAACAAAAAGTGTTTATCATAGAGTCCTACTTTAGAAATGGACGCAAGATTGATGGAATATGGAAGTATTCTATTGAGGAATGTTTCATAGAATTTCAAAATCAATTTCCCGGCGTTGTTGAGTACAAAATTTTTCAAAGTGCAGTTCAGCGTTGTGTTAATGTTTTTCGTGAAACGGGCAGTGTAACAAGAAAAGAAGGAAGCGGCCGACCTAAAAAGCGGACTGAAGAATTAAAAGAAAATGTCCAACAAATAATGGAAAATGCGCCAAGAACTTCTGTACGTGTTTTATCACAAATGGTGGGAGTATCAGTCGGTACCTGCCACACAGTGTTAAAAAAAGATTTGCGTTTGTTCTCCTATCGTTTAACTTGTCAGCAAGAACTTCATGAAGTTGATTTTCCGCGACGGGCTGTATTTTGTGAATGGTTTTTAAACAACTACGGTGAACTTCATAATATCACCTTTTTTTCTGATGAAGCCTGGTTTCATTTAAGTGGTTACGTAAACTCACAGAATATGAGAATGTGGTCTTCTGAAAAACCAGATAACTTTTTTGTCGAGGGCCCTCTACACGCTCAAAAAATTGGAGTTTGGTGTGCTCTCAATCGAAGGAGGATTTATGGACCTATTTTTTTTAATGGTACTCTTACTGCGCAAAGGTATAGAGAAGAAATTATCGCTCCTTTTGTTAACCAGCTGGAAGAAAACGAAATTACAAACTTTTACTTTCAACAAGATGGCGCAAGGGCACATACGGCAGGCGAGACGATGAATATGTTGAGGGAAGTTTTCCAAAATCGACTAATAAGTCTCAATGCTGAACATGAATTTCCACCGAGGTCATGTGATATTACGCCGTGTGATTTCTTTTTGTGGCCTTACCTTAAAAACACTATTTTTGAACTGCCTATTCCTGATTTAAACCATCTGCAGGCTCGACTTATAGACAAGATTCGTGAAATTAACAATACCCCGAGCATCTTAGAAAATGTCTTTAATTCTTTGAGGAACAGGTGTGAAAAGTGCTTGGAACAAGGAGGGGGACACTTTCAGCAGCTGCTTTAATTTATTGTTATAACAAGGAGGGGGACACTTTCCGCAGCTCCTTTAATTGTTTGTTATTGTTATCACGATTATTCTTTAAAATAAAGTTATATAGTCATTAACGTTATTGAAACTGACAGCTGCTATACAGCTCGTTGAGAAATGAGGTTAAGTTGGTCGCTATAAGCTACTCCCTACGTCCAATGTGTCAGAGCCAACTTCGACCACGTTTTTATTTGAATGCTCGTTATTTCTAGGGTGCACAACTCGATAGTCCCTGATTTTATCTAATAAGAATTTGTTCACATGAAAGTTCTTCTTTTTCATGTATTGAGGTTGCGTATTTATAAATTTTCCACAACCGGACAGTCTGATTTTATTTATAGAAAATTAATGACGTGTATTATTATACTGGATTACCTCTTGTCTGTCGAAATTTGTACCCTGTGTCTAAATTTTTCCCTTGTAGACATTTCGTCCTAACTGATTTTTCTCAAATAAAAATTTATGATCGTGATATTTTTTATTATATTAACATGCATTATTGGGTTTTCTTTTACGAAATTTGCGAGATGTAGGCAACACTATTGTACTGATATTAAATTAATATAAATTTATTAATATGCTATTTTTTATCTCTAATAATATGTATTATAGACTTATACATAGCTAAATTTTTCAGTTTAAACATCTTTAATATAACTAATTTTGTCTAATAAAAGTTTGTTGATGCCCAGTTTTTTATTTTTAGTAATATATACAACAGGGTTTCCCATAAAACCTGTAAACTTTTGATTTTAGTGTGTATATAAAGAGATCGTTTAATTTAACATAACAAAAAGTACAATCTTAACACATATCACTGAGTTTGTACTTAAACATAATCTGGTCTAAAAAATTTGACCAAATTGTCATAAGAGTAGCTTTCTAATATTTCTACTAGTTTAGGGGCCTTATGTCGTGAATTAATGCCCTTAAATTTATTAAAATCCATGAAGAGATCGGTAATAGTACCTAAAACGAATAAAAATATTTCAATTCCAAAGATGTTCTCTTCGCTACCGATGACTAGGAACGAGTTACTTACCATAAATCCTGTCCAAACATCCCGGTTGATTCTGGTGAGCAGTCCTTATATCCTTTTCACGTTCCAAGAGATCTTTATATTTCGAAGACAAATATTTAGTGGTTTCTTCTTCACTCACTTCCAATTCATTCAACGCGTTCAATAGTGAAACCTCCTTTGCTATCTTCTGGTACAGAAGCAACTTATTTTCCAGGAGTTTTAAAACAGAATTTATAGATTCCTCACTAATAACTAAAACAGAATGCTTAAATGAAAAATAGCCCCAGTTTCTAATTCCAATTGATCACGGAGATAATAATCTGAATTAAAAAAACAAATTGTTCTGAAAAGATCTTAACATAATTATATCATTGATAGTTAGTAAAATATGTATCGGAATAAATGATTACTTAAGGAAATACTAAATTCTATTTTATTTAAATATACTTAATGAGGTACATTCTAAAGATATCACAGTTTGACTCTTTCAGTCTTTCTTTAATGGAATGTTAATGGAGGTTTATACAAAAATGTTTAAAGTACCTCTGGAAAATTTGATGGAAATTTATAACAAAAAATTAATTAATATTCATAAAAGCATGTCATGTGTTACTTTCCATTTTAGTGTTGTGTAATTGGAGAATATCAAATAATCTGTACAGACTTACATGAGTTAATGTCAACTTTAATTTTCTTTTTCGTAGCTTCAGCTGAAATATTTTCTTTCAAAATCGATATTGTCGACACATTGTCAGATTTAAATTCTGCGTCCCCTTTTCTGTAAAAAAAAAATTGAAAACGATAATAGGCGATGTTTTGGCAACATTTACAAATAGCTGCACTCCAGAACTGTGTCCAGAAAACATGATTTAAACCACAGAATCGTCCTTTCGGATATTTGAGGTTTTTCTGGAACCTCAGGCAAACACTGACCTACCCAAGAATGGATTTCTGCCAAGCTAAAGCCGCCTTTGATTGTTAAAACGTTGAATGGTCTACAAAAGAAGTAGTTTGTTTACTGAATTTTATACGTATGTATTATAATTCTTACATAACACATCATTGCTGAAACAGTTTGTCTTATGAATAATGGAAGACGTATATGAAAAACTGAACAATTAATTATCGATTTCCACTAAGATTAAGGACAATTTACATATATACGCATTCCATAAAATTTTATGATTGTACGTGACTCTCATAGTGTAAAACTTAATTTAACCTCGCGTGAAAACATATTAAATAAAACATTCCACAAAGCAAAGAACATTTCCTAAATGTAAAAGTGTTTTAAAATGTTTCGTCCAACGTAATTGCAGTTTAATATTTCTGTGCACAGAAAACAAAAATGTTTTAAGTTTACACACAGGTACAATATTTTGGAAGAAGCTTATTTCTACCTGTTGCTGTCAAACTGATGTATCCTACAATGCAAAGACAAGGCTTTAATTTCGTAGTGGGCGACTCTGCAACATTTCGGTTGTACCATAGGCGTAACATACGCCTGGAGAAGGCCCTTCTGTCCTTCAATGGTGCGAATTTTTAGTTCAATCCTGTTGGTATTCATCTGACAACGATAGGTAGCTAAGAGATGATTACCGTCCTACAAAAAATAAATATAAAAGATTTTTATTATAATTAAAGAGACTTACTTCTATTCGGGACTCGCTATAGCTGACTACGGCAGAGTTTTTTTCTACATCAAGCAAATCCACGTTTGTATTACACTGAAGAAGAATATTATCAATCGGTGTAGGTACTTCGATCGATAAGTTGTAAGTCGACGTTGCTTTTTCAAGAACAAACTAAAAATTAAAAACTGTATCACTGCGTTTATAAGGTATATTTCAGTTATACTCACTGAATCTTTAATAGACAATAGAGGGATAGCTGAAAGTTCATCGAAAAATGACTGGGTTGACGTTTGATACTTCTCTCGTTCCTTCAGAATTTTTTCTTTTAATTCGCCTATTTCTGTTCTATCATTAAGAGAATGGGAACTTGATATAATATTTTTATTATAAACGATTGTTCTATTTTGGGTTAAACAATGAAAACATCAGTTTCAAAGTACAACTTACTTTAATTTATTTATTTTGTAGGACGTATCCGATGAAAAAATATATCCACCTTTAGTATTTTCGACATTAGCATCTATGGACTGAGACGTCAGACCAAATATACGCCCTGTATACGTAGCCACGACAATTTCGTCAAATCCTTGTGCTCCAACTATTCCGCACTGGAGTCCGTTAATACTCTCGTTGCAATTCTATAAAACGAATTTTGTTTGAAAAGGTTAAATGAATTAAAAAATTTGTCTGGACTTTTCATGCGACATGTTATCCGTAGTATTTCTGCCTCCTGATCACGAATCCGGTATCAGAATTGAGCTATTGCACCACAGGAATTTCCTAAACTCAAAAAACAGGTCAAAAATGGCGGATCCGAGGTCAATTTTGCAAAATTCAAGATGGCGGATCCAAGATGGCCTACCAAATTTCCAAAAAAATAACACATTCGCGCCAAACTTAGTATACGGGGGTTTTTGGGGTAGCTGATCACGAATTGCGAAATTCGTTTAGTAATATTTTTGTTTACTTTATAACCTGAGTACCCAATCATGTTTTAACATTCTTTTTTCGGCTATATCTTGTTCTTTTTCTGTAAAAGATCTATTCACGGGTTTTCTGCCTCAGGTAATAAAGTACATAGGTAATTGAAATTTTTAAAAGCGAATATTGTAAATTTCATCTCGAATTCGTGATCAGTGACGCCGAAAAACCCCGTATACCAAATTTGGCGCGAATCTGTTATTTTTTGAAAATTCGTGATATCTGCTTTAATTGACACATTTTTTTTGAGGTTAGAAAAAGAACTATCAATTCTGATTCACATTTGGCGGGGTCTTAACCATATAATTGAACATTTGAATATAGAAAAAACATTTTTTTTTGTAGTTTTCCTAGCACTTTTTCGAAAATTTTTGTTATTTTTGACTTGTTTTTTTGAGGTTAGGAAGTTCCTGTGATGTAATAGCTCAATTCTGACACCGGATTCGTGATCGGGAGGCAAAATTTACAAGGAAAAAAATCAAAAGTGAAAATGTACAAAATCAAGATAAAATCATCCACATTTCGTTATAAAAAATATAAAAATGAATGAATGAATTAATTAAATTATTAAATGAATGACCTCATTAATATATATGTCAGAAAAATAGTTTTTACATTTATAGTGGAAAAGTTTTCTAAGTTACATACTTATTTTAGGTAATTTCTATAAATATTTTCTCAAAATTTTTTGACAAATTCTAAATTATTAGGATAATGATCGTTTCGTAATTATTAGGTATGTAATTTTCCATTCTCTACAATGTTCAACAAATGTAAATAGCTTAATTAGGTATGGCTATTTAGAATTCTTTCTCGAATCTGCAGTAAAATATATTTCAAATTAGAAGTAATTACTGATGTAAAGGAAGTCATTTTTGGAATAACAATATTTTTATCTACAAGTATGATATCTACATAGTGTCATTTTATGAAGAATTTTGTGATTTGAATATAAAGGTTTGGAACCTAAAAGATTCTTTTAAACATCGAAAAGAATATCACACTAACATAAGAAAAAATAATCCTGGATACATCCATAGCATCGAGCACATTCACTTGAAAGACTTCTACACTTCCATCTTGTCTCCCAATTACAAGATTTTTCGTCCCATTTCCAATTAAATCATAACTATCCATACATGATATAGTGCTGGTGTTTTTGTCATTTGTAATCAACCACCTGTCAAATCCTTGCACCCTAAAAGAAGGAGTTTATCTTAAACTCTATCTACATTTATCGACAAAAAAAAATAAAGCTGTGAAACTCAAAATAAATTAATTTGGTGTTAAATATAATTCTATTATACAATATGTTCTACTTTTTTTGACTTTTGCTTATTTAAAAATCTATCTCGTTAATGGAATTTCCAGTAGTGAAAGGTGTATACGATCCCTACGATTAAATAAACACTGATTTAAAGTCGGGAACTATAGTTTTGTATTTGTCTCTGAATTTGTGGTATCTTTTTCTGAAACACCCTGTATAGATATAATGTGGTAATTTATACTTGTCTACATCCAAAATTCCAACACGGCCATCCACAGTACCAAACAAAACAGCTTTAACATCTTCGTCTTCATAAATGTGAAGCACTGTAGGTGAACTTTCAACTTCCATACTCAAAGTTACCCTGGCATGCTCTAAGGCTCTGATCATACGGCCCTCGCAAGCTATCAACGACATCAGTCTGCGGCTCTAAAATCAGAACAAGAACCTTCTATATAGTGCTATGGCAGTTCCTATCAGTTTTTTAGAAAATATGTGAAAAGCACGTTCGTTAAAAACCGGCAACTCAAATATCACTTACGTTTTGAGAATAGAATGCCACCACGTCAACAATTCTGTCTCCACATAAGTACGAACCTAAGTCCTTGCAGTCCCTGTAATGTGTATATACATGTTTCCCACATAAAAATAACTCACTCGCCAATACAAACCTAAAAGTTTGTGGGTTAATTTTTGGCATATGGAACTTTTAACAACTTACATTGTGCTAATAGTTTCAGTCATTCCAGAATCAAATGTGATGAACAATTTGCCTTTTTTTGTGAAACCTCTAACTTCATTTCCGGATGCAATAAATATTTTATCTTTAATGGTGCCTTAAAATTATATATTACATAAAATTTTTAATATTAAGACATAGAATATTCTAAAGACAATTGTTCGGTTTATATTCCATTTGGAGGTACTTTGATCTAACGCAATTCCCAGCTTTTAATACGAAAACCTTGTTTGTTTCCGTTTAAAATTTTACAATCTTTGTATAAAAAGATGATTAATATGTTCCTGAGCTAATGCTTTGGAGGCTGGATTTATCATGAGTATTTATTCCATTTACTTTATCATAAGTAGATATTTGTTCCATTTACTACTTTTATTCGAATAGTTTAGGTAACAATTTTATCTCTTTTTGAAATAAGCTTTCTTAGATGAGGGCGTTGACTGCGCTGCTCTCTAGTAGCGAATAGGCTAACTTGTCTTAAAACTGTTGTCAACAACGGACCCTGTTGTTTATGGTTAGGTTAAAACCGTGATGTGAACATGAAGATGGCATTGTGTGCTCGTCAGCCGCCGACTCAATTTCCAAAAAACCGAAAAGGTATTTACAAAATGCGCATGAGCAAATTGTTATGAAACTCATTACATTTTACATTAGTCACATAGAAAATATAGTACTATATAACACCTATCATTGTCTGCCTATCATTTATCCTTATAAATGAGCTTTCTTCTTTTCTCTTTTTTGTGACTAACACTATATTTTCTATGCATTAGTCATTAGCACAAAACGGAGAAAAGAGGTCATTAGTAACTGTCACTAACTGATAAAGTGCGAACCAAAACAAAACTTAGCGACATGAAAATGCTTTTGGAGCAGATTCTTGCACTGATGCTTTCTTGCGAAAAAATATTGCAAAATTGCAACTTTATTGTATCAACAATTCAACCTCTGATAGACTAAACTTCGTTTCATTAAACTAGTTATCTACTGTTTATAAATTCCATATACATGGTGACCCAAATTATGTAAAACATATTAATTAACTAAGGTAAATCATATTTATTGCGAATGATCTAAGCGGATGAACCGTATTTAATAATTTCTAAACTGTGCATTATTTCTGAACTAGTTTTTTGTTGTGTATTTATGCCTGTACAGATAATTAACAGAAATACCTGGGGCTCCTGCTATTTTAAGTGAAGATATGGCAGTTCCAGGGAGAGTTTTAAAATGTAATTGAACGTCTTCCTTTTTAACAGAAAATACTTGTAGAATGCCATCACTATCTGCGACAGCTACCTAAAAGTGATACGATTAAAAATCAATGTCATGTCTACTGTTGTCTTTGATTTCTTTTTGGAAATAAAAGATATTACTACTGAAGGTTTATTATTAGTGTTTGCGCCAGTATTTTGTAGTGCTCACCTTACCTTTTGCTGCTCTTTTGGATAAACGTTTGGTAACAATTGTAAGCAGTTGAGATCGGTTATTCCCACGATTGTATAATCTACCCTTGTTAGTTCCAAATCCATGTTGTTTAGGACAAATTTAAAGTCGAGTATCTAGACATACGATTTGAATTTCTAGAAAATCAATTCTCCCTTGACAACCAAGCCTCTACCCTCTACAAACATACCTACTGAATTGGTGTAGTGGAATTTTATTGATTTCTTAAATGAATATGCATATCAGAGTTAAGAATCTTATATTTCATATATATTTTTTTTGCGAAAATATTTTAACGACTCATAATACTTACTCTATAAACTTTGTAGTCAATATAAGTCACAAACACAATTTAGCATACCAGATACTATATACAAAAAAAAGAAAAAAAACTGCTTAAGATTTTTGAAGTATTTAGTCTCCATTACACAAATATCGTTAGCTTAAATATCATTGATTACTGAAAAATATATTGGCATAGAATATCTCTACCCCTCATTGTAATTGCAAGGATTAGCTCAGAAGTCAGAATTGTGTGGGAGAGGAGGCGGCATATTATTATTAAGTAGGCCGCATGTGCAGGATTATTTAAAACAAAATGCTCAGTCTTGTCGATTCTTATTATAAAATAAAAAATCACTGATGCTATATATCGTAGTTGGGCCACACTGTATATTCTTTCGATAAAGAAATGCGCAACTATAAAATTTTAATTGAGTATTTATAATTTATACTTACCCTGTATAATTATTTATTTGTGTAAAACTGGAAGGTAATACATAATTTATTTATTATCCGCGAAATAAAATCCTCGAAAGTTCGAAATAACCCTTTATTTGCAATTTTATATACAAAAATATTTAATAGTATCTCAAGACAACATAAAAAGTAACGTATATGTACAAAACATAGTAGAAAACAGAGTAGAAAACTACTTTGGTTAAAAAATTCACCAGTCCTAAAGGAAACTGAAAAAATAATGGCAAACTCTAAAATTTGTACTTTAAATATATAGTCTCTATATAAACCTTACCGGCTTTCATAATGTTTAGTATTTTATCACAAGAACTGGTAACAGTATATTTATAAACAGACATTATAAAAGCTCGCTACAATTACAAAAAATATATATCGACTCCAATAAATAGAGGGAAACTATGGTACACTAAGATTTAAAGGAAAAAAAAACTGGCTCTATAGAAGATAAAGTTAGATGACACTGTTAGTTTATTTCACTTGAGTAAATGTTTATAAATGCACTCGGGATCCCGGCAATTGCCATCCACATCGTACGGACATACGATGGAAAACGGGTCGTCCGTAACTACCCTATGACAAACAGATGAAACAATTAGTAATTTATCTGCCAATGGTAAATCGAAGCAATACAACACCTTTTTACTTTGTCTAACGGTGATATGTATTTCGGAAACGTATTTTTCTGTTTGCTACAGATTATATCGATATCGTTGGAGTCCCCTGGGTTTAGAGGTGCATCCACGACATCCTCTTCCTTTCGGTTTCCCACACGGGGCTCTGCAATTTTTTCAGATAACGGAAGTGTGTTATTGGGAGTGATAGTGGGAAGAGAACTCGTTTCGAATGAAACTACGGACGGTTTGTCTTTTATTGGTGTCGATGATGTGAAACGTGCCTTTTTGTCTTCGGCGAGTTCAGTTTTTTTCGTAGGCATACTGAAAGAGATAGGTGCCTTGTCACAGAAGAAAACGGTACATATGAAGAATGCAATTAACAATTTAAAAAGTGAAATAAGCATTATATAAGCGATTAGCTTTTTATAAATGGTTTATTCATTTTCAGCTACAATTCTAAAATGCAAAACCCTTTGAAACTAGATAAAAACAATATTTTTTTATTACTTATATCACCATAACAAATATAAAAAATATGAATGTGTACATCTCATATTTAAAAGGTAAATAAATACAATATACAACATTAATTACTCTTTTTCAACTAAAAGACGAACACCCTCATGTTTTTTTGAAGAAAAAATTGTTATTTATATCAATGGTCATGGATTCACTTGGGTATTTATCTTGTCAAGTACAACTCTTAAACATGTTCTACATTTAACAATTTTTTACCCAATACATTAAGAAATTATCACAATTTGTAACACATCACGATAATTTGGCCAAGATATTTGAAGAAAAAGAGTCAAAATTATAAAATATAAACAAATTAGAAAAATTGGCCAATTTATTTGTCAAATTTAAGGCTTCCGATGCTAACATGACCTTAATTAATTTATTGGATCAAAAATTGGTGAATGTAAAACAGGTTTTATATTTAAAAAATATCAACTTATGTTTAGATTTAAATTTTCTGAAAAAAAAAGGTCTTGTTACTGATATTACTACAAAAATTTTATTTAATCAAAAAAAAAATATAGTTGATATGAAACCAAGTGCAACAGTATAAAAATATTAGATAAAATTTTAATGGTATCCTAACTAACCTCTTATCAATTCGTTCTTTTTCTCGAACCAGATTGCTAACTTGATTATTGAAGTCCTGTTGCGACTTTGTCAGTTTCTTCTTCATGTCCGCTATCTCCTGAAGTAGACGTTTGACTTCATCCTCACACTTTCTTCTTTCTAAACTTGCTTCGTTAATTTTCTTAATTACAGGCATAAGTACTTTATATTTTTCTTGGATCTGTAATCTTTTTTCCACATTTCTCATTACACAAGATACAGGACTTTTTCAGTTTCAATAAATTATTTTAATATTATTTTATATATTTAAAAAATTAAATCATGCACGTTGTAATAATATATGTACATATAAAAAAACAAAATTAAATTATTATTAATTTTTAAAAGTACTAAAAACTATCCAATACCTTCCATTCTTTTGAACTTGAATTTCCTTCAGAATTTTGTGTAGTGTTCGGACTTCACTCTTATCGTTCTGGGCGGGATCCACTTTTGACACAGTTACTTGTTTACCAGCTGGCAATTTAGGTCGGACAATTTTTTTGGACGTACATGCAACGGGTTTTCCCTCGCTACTCAGTTTGTGAGACAGTCTTCTTACCCTCGGTTTCTTTTCGGCATTTTTTAATCTCTGTAATAATTTTTGGTATTCTACTTGTTTTACTTTAGGCAACAATTTAACACATGATTTTTCTAGAATAAGTGAGGAGTTTTTAGGTTTCGCTGGACACTTTGGTATAGGAGACAGTTGTGCTTCAACTTTCGCTCTTTGTTCCTTTAAAAATTTATCTACGCTTTGCTCAATTTCCATATCAATCTGTTTCTGTTGAACTATCTGAGTACCTGTATTTTTAATTGCTTTATTAAAGAGATCATCCTCTGAATCTGAATCTTTATTTATATTAATTATCAGAGGTTTAACTACTGGCAACTGTAGATTTTTCATTGCAATATTAATTTTAGTTACACGGTTTTTAAAATTAACTACATTGTTTATAGGTAAATTTGCTGTTTCTCTCTTTTCATCTACATTTCGTAATGTATGCTTGATCCCATTATTTGTTAGCGGTAAAACAGTTCTCTTCGTTTCTTTTTCACTAGTAATTTTTCTCGACATTGAAGCTAACAACAAAGCCCTTAAGACATCTTCATCTTCCTCGGGTGGAGTATTATTTTCTATAACATTATTTGTAATTTCTACTTTATTTTCTTTATTTTGTATAACTGAATTCTCTATACAGATTTTTTTTGGACAGTTCTCTATCGTATTATGATTATTTTCTTTATTAGTTTCAGAATTATCTGTTTTGACAGAGGCATCTGATAAAACATCATGATCATTACTTTCCTTTACTTTTCTCTTTTTTCGATGCATAAATTTATTTAAAACGGCCGTACGTAAAGCTTCCAATCTCAACTCAGCCAATTCACTATCCCCTTCATCTGAAGTGTCTTTTTCCTCAATCTTTTTATTATCATTTTTTTCCATACAACTGTCTGATTCATCTAATTTTGTCATAGCTTTTAGCCTTGACTGTAAGCTATTTTTGTGTTTCTCTTCAGTGTCATCCACCCGAATAGCAGCTTTCAACTGTTTTTGCAATTTTCTATCTAATTCCAAGTATTCATCACTATCAGAATCACTGCAAGTTGACTTTCGGTGACTATTTCTTCTTTTCTTGGATTTGGAAATTTTTTTTCTTGTAACTTTGTGACGGTGCCGTGGTTTATTCTCACTTTTCGGTTCATCCGCATCGGTAACGCTACTTAAAGAAATAGCAGGTAAATGTTCTTTAGTTGATACAGACTTACCAGAGAAAATTGGAACAATGATGGAATTATCCGAAATATCCTCAAAATCATCGTCCACGATTTCACCTTCTTCACGATCTTCCAAATTCACGCCCGAAAAGTCAGATTCCATTATTATAGATAATACGCAACAATATGAAACTTTAATGTAAAACACAGTAACCCTTCCCAGCTGCTATGAATTTTGGCACCTTTTGACACTACAAGAAAAAAAGAAAAGAAAAAAAAAAACAGTACCACTAATACCAACATATCACATTTCGCCAACCTAGCCTATCGTCAATACGCCATGACACAGATCATCCTAGCCATAGTGGTTATTTTCTAGTAAGTTTTCAATGGCTCATACTCACACAAATGCAGTGCTTGTACACGATGAATACGCGTTTGGCGTTAAACGTTGCCTCAATAATTTGGGACCAAGGGGGACTATCCCTCTTTGTCCTGCTTTACCTCTATAGGCCTGGGCAGCCCCGTGAAGGTGGGCCCCGTTCATCGTCTACCCCGACCACAAGCATGGCCGGTGTAGGCGCTTTGCGGGACCTCCTTTTGCTTTTGTGGAGATTTAGACAGAGAGAGGTAAAGGAGGGTATTTGCTATCTCTCTCTAGCAGCACGCGATTGCATGTTGTTAGAGAGAGATAGCAGTAACAGTCCTATACCACTCCCTTTCTCTCTATAAACCTCCCCTACACTCTCGGCCTCTGGCACGCTGCCTCCAGTATAGTATTACATGCTCTAAGAGCTAATAGCAACTTAGAGTTGCTCAGGTTACTCTGAACTGAACTGATATTAGTTGCTGATAGGTACTTTGTTTGCCAAAACGAAAGCCCCCAAGATCGGTAAGCTGTCAATTTGTGTTGTCTTATCAACTAAGTTAGGTTAGTAAAGTACATTTCATTTAAGTAAATGTTATTTTTGTATTTAATACAATATTTTATTTATAGTTTATGTAGGAAATATAAAATAATCATTGCATAATGCAAAATCTTAAAATGTGCCGACTGTGTATGACACAGCCGATAGTCTCGCATTCATTATTAGAATCAAATGGAGCGAATATATTGGAATCCTTGACTTCTATAAAGGTTTTTTTTTAATTATTTATATTATCGATCGCAGTCACTTATTCACGTAATTTTTTAGATATGTAAAGAGGATACTCTTCCGAAGCGAGCTTGTGTCAAATGTTGGTTAAATTTAAAATTAGCTTTTCAGATTCAGCAGAGTATTATAGAATGTGATAAGAAACTAAGGTTATTTGATGTCGAGCAAGAACCAGATAATGTAGACCCACTTCCTGAAGTTGACGACATGATTCAAAACATTAAGGAAGAAAAACTTGAACTAGTATACAAAATGGAACCTGAAGATGATTCGGATTATGTCGATTCAGAAATTGATAATCCCGAGATTAACAGTATCAAAGTAGAGAATCACACAAGAACAGAACTATTGATAATATGTCCAGTAGGAGCAGGTAATAGTAATGAAAATATTGTACCGTTTGAAAATGAAAAAACTGAGAAAACTTTTACAACTTGTCACATATGTGGAGCCCATACAGAAGAAGACTTGCTGTTAGATCATTTAAAAACCCACTATTCTACTAGACTGAAATGTGACGAGTGCAATACTTATTGTGAAAATATACCGTCTTATAGAAAACATGTCTTGTCCAACCACAAAGACATGCAAGAATCATGGACTTGTGGAGTGTGTGCTGCACGTTTTCAATATAAACCATTGTATATAATTCACGCCGAACAAGCTCATCCCAAGGAAACAACCGCTCCTCGTAGCAGAAAAGCACTGTTTTCTAAATCCATATTACAAGATTATAAGTACGACTGTCCTTACTGCAATAGGAAGTTTAAAACAGAGCAAGCGAGTTTATCACATATAAAAACGCACAACAAAAAGGAATGTCCAGTGTGCGGTGTCAAAATTACACCCTCGAATTTCAAAGTGCACGTGGATTCGCATACGTCACCTCCGATGGTATGCCACTTGTGTGGAATCACCTACAAGAATCTTACCTCCTTAAGAAGTCATATTTATTACACACACTCGACGAGGAAGTATGCCTGTAAATATTGTGATAAAGTGTTTAAGAAAGCTTATGATCTACCCTTGCACGTTAAGAAAGAACATACAGGTAATAAATTAGAGTTTATGTCATCTTACATCAAATAAAAGTTTCATATCACGAACAATTGAGAAAATAGTGATTTGGGATTTTGAATCATGGAACCATTATTTTATTGTAATTACTATTGCGGTTTTTAATTAATAATGATCGTTATTTTGTTATAGGACAAAGGGATCATACGTGTGATATCTGCGGCAAGAGTTTCTATGCGTTCCACAATTTGAATAAACACAAAAAAACGACGCATATGAAGTTACGGCCTTTCTTGTGCCAGTACTGCAAGAAATCGTTTTCGTCAAAACACGCTCTGAGAACTCACGAGCGTCAGCATACAAACATCACCCCCTACACCTGCACAATATGCGGTGAAGGCTTCAGACAAAACGTTTCCTTGAGATCTCATAAAAAATCCAAGCACAACATAGTCGAGGTAAAGACGTTCCCATGCTCGGTGTGTGGGAAGAAGTTCGGGTCCAAATGGGCAGTGCTGAGTCATATGCGAGTCCATTAAAATACGAGTTTATTTTTATATTTCTAATAATAAATATGTATTGTTTTATAATTGATTTTGTTATTCCGTTAATAAATGAAATAGATAAGTTAAATGATATTATACAGTGTGCTCAGTTTAAAACTACCCAGCCGTAAGTCCTGAAAGATAGAGATGTTTTTTTTTAAACAATGCATATAAAAGACTTCTGTTCTAAGTGCAAATGGTGTTAAAGAGTAGTATACGATAATATCTTTTTATCCTTCTTTCTGACTGCAAGGATTAGCCCAGAAGATTAGATTTGTGTGGGGAGGGGACAGCATATTATTATTGAGAAAACCGCATGTGCGCCCAGGAATGACTTACGTTGGTAAGCCCTAATGATGATTCAGTGCAGGAAAGAGCCTGTAAAACCTCATTAATTAGGGGGATGGTCAAATGTCGACTGGAATCAATTTCTCACATTGAAAAAAATGATAATTTTTGAAAAAAACTAAATTGCAAATTGATAAATGTAATCGAATTGTTTAAAAATAAAAAAAAGTGTTAACTTTAAAAATTTACTGTGGCCCTCCTAATCAACCGATTTCAATTTTTCAAAAACCATTTGAAAGGTCGAGCGGTCTTTTCTATGTGTAAAAATTTTCATGTGCCTAGATGCCTTATTTGGGGCTACGCAACATTTTGAAAATTCAAAAATATTTTTTCAACAAATTATTTTGCGAAAAGTATCAAACCAATTTTAGTGAAATTTGGTGTGTTGTTTTATTATACTTTAAAGTTTTTTTACCAAAATTAGAATGCCCTCAGAGCAATTTAAACATTTTTAAAAAATCCAAAAAATATTGTTTTTTTGCCTTTTTTTTCATTAATTATTGCTATTTTGCAACAACGGCAATTAATTTAAAAATTTTTAACTTACAGTATATTGTGCAAAATTCAATTCTAAAACTTTTCCACCTCAAAACAGATCCGCCCTGATCTATTTTTATAAACTAGGAACTTATTAAAGGAAATAATTCTCTTTAAAAATATTTAATATTCATTCAAATCTATGTAATCATATTCACAAAACAGAGACGTGTACAAATTAATAATCACTTTTGAAGCTGTAGTATTTGTGATCCTCGAACATTGACAATGGACACACCCTTTGATTTTTGTTGCAAGAATCGAGGTACGCTACGTCTTCGGGAGCCAAGGTAAAATCGAAAACGTTTATATTCTCTATAATCCTGGATTTAGTGACTGACTTAGGAATCACCGATATCCTTAAAGATATCTGACAAAAGAGATAAAAGCTGATTTTTATTAAAACATTGTGTGCATAATTAACTCACCAGATAATTTAAAACAACTTGAGCGGGTGTCTTATTGTACTTCTTGGCAATTTCAGCCACTTTCGGATCGAAGATTGTTGGATCCGGAAAGCCAGGTGTACCAGCATATTCACTGCGTCCCAACGGACAATATCCGACGATAACAATATCACGCTGTCCGCAAAACTCAATAAGCTTCTTTTGGTTTAAATTTGGGTTCACTTCTACCTGGTTGCAAACTGGCTTGATTTTGCAATTCTTCAAAAGACGATCGATCTGTTCTGCGTTAAAATTAGATACACCAATACTTTTGGCGAGGCCTTGATTTACACATTCCTCCATTCCTTCCCATGTTTCCAAATAATCAACATCACTATAAGCTTTTACACCTTCTCCAACTGGCCATAGACTTGCCTTTTCCTAAAAAATTATCTCAATGATTGTAAACGTAAGAATATGCATTACTTACCTTGAATCCAAAAGGCCAATGTATAAGGTACAGATCAACATAATCCAATTTCAAATTATCCAGCGTTTCTTTGAGCATGGGCACTACTTTATCTTTTGCGTGAAAATTATTCCACAGCTGAAAATAAAACGAACCTCTATATATTGTAAAAAGCTATTTATTAGCATCCATACTTTGCTGGTAATAAAAATATCCTCTCTTTTAACCTTCCCTTCATCAATTTTTTCTTTCAAACCTACACCAACCTCGGCTTCGTTGCCATAAAACCAAGCGCAATCAAAATGTCTATAACCTGCATCGATGGCATCCTTAACTGCTCTTATAACTTCACCAGGACCAGACTAAAAATACCATAGTATTATTTTAAATGTTTTTAGGCGCTTTTTAAGCAAATCCATGATTTATTTTCGATTAACAAAATAATTTACAACACAACTAATAATTATTTACCTTGTACGTTCCTAATCCAACAATTGGTAATTCCTTGCCATTATTGAGTTTCAGTGTTTTGGACATGGCTCTTTCAAAAAATTTTTCGACGCTTGAAATAATAAACAAAACTTTTCCTAGCTTCAGTTTTGTAATCTTTATAGGCCCTTTTGCGCTACAAAAATGTAGATATTAAAATTGGGATTTGAAGATTTAAAAATACCCTTACACTTCAGCAATAGCCAAATGGCATAAAGTAGAAGTTTTTCACAAATATAAATAGGATTGAATGTCAAAGTCAAACTTTATTTTTTAATTCTAAAGGTAAAAGCACATCATTTCTATAACTTCTTTATTTTTTAGGCAGGCCTGATTGGTCAATCTAAAAATAATTCTTTCGCGGTTATTTCGGCGATAAGATTTTTATAGCTATTCAGCTTCTATGTATTAGAGGCTGCCTTTATTCAGTTTTTTGAGTCTTTGTTTATTCACATCAAATTTTGGATTTAGGTATCTGGTATTTCTAACCTTAATAATCACAAATTATACCTCAAAATTTGAACATGATTGTGCGGCTACATTAGAGCATATTATTCTACATGGTTGAGTAGACGCTGTAGAGAGAAAGAGCGATAGTTTGGGTACTCACTCTATCTCTCTAATTGTTGAGGAAGGAGTTGCGTTAGCCAATTACGTGTCTGTGCGAGAGAGAAAGATGGTACGCAAACTATCTCTTTCTCTCTCTATCACTAGTATACAGTTACACTGTTGTTGTAAGCTTGCCCTCCGTGTAGCATATGTTCTAAGGTGGTCACAGTTCAGAAACCACGAAAACAAAAAAATAAGTAGCTTTTAGGGGCTGCAATGGGCTTTAGCCTTAATGCGTAGGTATTTAATTGACTATAGACTTAACATTATTGACCTTCAACAAACTCGAATGAAAATGTTTTATCATATTTTAGGCAACATAATATACACGAATGTAGAAATGTCGACAGAATAAATCTTGAGGATTGGTATCTTCTGTGCAAAAAGTAACGTGCTGCCTTTTAAATATTGCTTCCAGTGTCAAATTATGAGGCTTTAGCTCGTTTCACAGTAACGACATATACATGTATTATATTCGATATGAATAAAGAAACAACTATTATAATTTTTTAAAATTTATTTTGTTTCAAAATTACATTTTAAAGACTTATGTGGCATTTTAGTTAAAATTTGTTTTATCGAAATCAAAATTAAATTCAATGAAGCTGTTATTATACACTTAAAAGTTTTAAATAGCTTTTTCAGTTTAGAAATCTAGGGCGGCACTGAATCTGAAGATTAGTAATTATTCAATTGCTGATTGTTAGTCACATAGACCACACTGCAAACGCGATTAATCAAAATCTTGTATGTATCTCCGGGAGATTGGTGATTTCAGCGAACTATCGAAAAGTGACCTAAATAAATAATAGCGGATTTGGTGGACCGTCTGGCTTCTTATAGGTACCTCTTCTGGAAAAGTGGGGGCCAACCTGTTCATGATTCACTTATACTTTACCCTGGCCATTCAGTTATAAAAGTATCACGCGGATGTAAAAAAACTATAGAGAGTAGTAGTAACAGTGTTTTTCTGGTTCGGTGAAAATGAAGTGCTTAAAATCCACCAGACGCTTAATAAGCAACTCCTGTATAAGACGAATTTTTAGTGCGATAGAGGATATTTCGAAAAGCGATATAGGATTCGAAAATGCTCTCCCTTACAAGATGGTACCAGGGCCTAAACCTCTACCTTTCCTAGGAAATAATTGGAGATTTATCCCATTGATAGGTAGCATTTTTGTATAATAATATTTTCAGTTTAATTTTCTTTATGAAGAAATGTGTGTTTGTCGCAAAAATTTCGTATATGCATCCTGTATGTCGCAGTTATTTTATACTTTAATTTGTAAACACGAAGTAAACAAGAATATTTAAATTAAGACACACTTTCTACTTTAACAGTAAAAATCATGCAAAAATTAATATAATTAATGATTATTATTAAAAGCGAAAGAAAAAACAATAATTAGAGCAGCAACTGCATGCACTAGTCTATGTGAGAATTTCTGGTAATTAGAAATTTTTTTATAAATGTATTTTCTATATTGTTATTTAACCCAGAAATTCTGAAGTCATTGTTTTTATTCCTAATGTTAAAACTGTGCGATATGATCCATTTTAGTCAGCTCGCGCTCGGCCAAACTGTGAAAAATAAAGAAGAGTTTCTTTTTTCGAAAGGTGTCAAAAGCGATACAATTTTATACTGTTGACTTTTTGAAGCCATTACATAATTAATTAACTACTTATTTAGTAACAGGTTACTTTACTATAGTTAATCACAAATGTTAAGGTTGCCAGAAGAACAATTATGATTATCGAATATTTACTTTGTTTCATCATAACTCAAGGTTATTGTTTTATAAAATATAAGTACCTTTCTTTTTATATTTGTACAGTACGATCATACATGCATACTTAAAATGACACAAACTTTTACCTGCAATTTTAAATTAGTTACAGATATTATTAATTGTCCCGACCACATATAACAAAATATGTTTATCAAATCCGAATCTTCTGAAATATTTACGATTGCAGGAGGCTTCGAAATAGAACATATCGACAAAGTGTCTCAAAATTTATTTGAGAAATACGGGAAAATTGTTAAGATGGAGGGACTCTTGGGAAGACCTGACATGTTATTTTTGTTCGACCCCAGTGACATAGAACAAGTTTTTCGTCAAGAAGATATTCTGCCCTTTAGGCCATCTATGCCATCTTTAAATTATTATAAGCATATGCACAGGAAAGACTTCTTTGGAGAACATGGTGGAGTCATTGCAGTGTAAGATGAAACAACTTGTATCTACCATTTTAGATATGTTCTTGCATTTTTAGATTTTAGGAATGTTTTCAGGATTTGGCTAAAATTATTTTCTTTAAAAATCTCCCCTTTAAAGGGAGATGGTAGATATTTTATCTCATACAATATCTTAAAAAATTTGTCAGATATTTTACTCATATTTAAACTTAAATTTAAGACATATATACAATAATTTACGCGCTATTTCATCTTTAACTTTTTTATAGGACCCCCTTATTTTTTGGTAAGAAATCGTACTTTAAAGTTTTTCGAAATATTAAAAAAAACCTTATATAAGGCATACGTTTGTTTGAAATATGAATATTTTATCTGAAAGTGCTTTTAAAATATGTAATATACAGGGTGTTTTTGTAAATAAGTGCGAAATATTTTAGGAGGTGGTTCCCGAAGTTATTTTGTGAAAAAAAACGTAGGTCGAAATATGCTTCGTTTCCGAGATGCGGAGTGTTTATTTATTTTTATTAATTATTTGAAAGAGTTTTAAAGATGTTGACTGGAAATTTGATGGTTGTATTTTATTTAGAAATATTGACAGCAACCTACTAGATAAATTAAAAATACACACAACTTGCAATAAAATATGTTTTATTTTTTCCCTCAAAAGCGGTGCATCCTACGAAAAAAAATAAAAATGGGAAAAAGTCAGTGGCGTACCATTTTCTTTGTTAAAAAGGGTTGTGGTATTCTCGCATGAATGACACTGGTGCAAGTAGAAATATTCGAATCACCCCAAAAATGCACATTTATCCCTCCAGAGATTTTCATATTTCGAGTCAATATCTTTAAAATTCTTGGGGGACAATAATTTAGGACAGTCCCCTGTCATATTTCACGAATTGGTGGAAAAAAAATTAAAACAGATTCTATTAAAAAAAATTGTAAGTATTTAGGGATTCACAATGAATAAACTAATAATTATTTTAAAATTTAACCTGAATTGTGCGCGAATTTCGCCTTAATGCACAAATCAGTGTCGTGGAACAATCCTAACCAAGTGGAAAATTAGAATTTTATGGAAAACGCATTAAAATATCTGTCAGTCTTAAACTATTTATAGAATTTGAAAAAACTTTGTATTTACTTCGTCAATCAATTTAATTAAATCCTTTGACCATGTTGAATTCTAAAAAATTGTTGACCATAAACTAGAGGATTTTGAAATTTAGTGTTGCAGGATATAAATATATTGAACTTTAAAACCCGATTAAATTAAATTGTAATAAAAAATGTTTCTGTAATTTAATTTTTAATATGTAAAACGAGGTAGTGAACTGAATTATGACTGATACAACCTAGTCCGAGAACAACAAGGTCAACTATGGCTAACCGCAACGTATATAACTCCGCCATTATTCCATGGCTAGAAGTTGGTCTCAATGATTTGGGATCGAGGGGGATTATCCCTCTTTATCCTGCCTCACCTCGTGTAGGCCTGGACAGCCTTCGTAGGTGGGCCCCATCCGTCGTTTACCCTGACCGCAAATGCGGCCGGTGTAGGCGCTTTGTGGGACCTTCTCTTGTCCTGGCTGGGCCCCGCCGGCTAGGGCCCTTTCTTCTGGCGCTCTTGATGCTTCGCCGGCTCGTCTGTGTAACGTATATAACAGAAACCCGAACAGACGCCTCGTATTTTAAATATCAGCAAAAGCCTTAAATCAATTATGAATGATTGTTTTTTCCTATTGAAAGAACCCTTACCGGCGTCTCTGGAAGGCAAACAAAAGAAGGATGTTGATGTTGCGTGACATATTAAAGACATATGATTTCACACATTATTATATATTCCGGTGGAAATGTCTACTTTACGTAACTCATGTTGAGTAAGCTTGTTGCAATGTGATTTTCCCTACAATGCTTTCACACTCTACGGCACTTGCAATTACGTTTTGTCGATTAATTCAGTGGTTCCCAAACTGTTCCAACTCGCCGCGCCCTTTTGAACTAAATACGTAAATAGAACGCAATGAACATGTCAAACAACTGCATTGCTGAATAAATTAATTCGTTCATTTATTCATCCAGCTGCTACTTATTTTTCATTGATCTTTTCAATTAATCGATCATTGGGGTCTATCGTCATATGCTGTATTCTGTGGACTGTGTTGTTGGACAAAGACACTTTTGAAAGCAGTTTCCCAGCACTCACCAACCAAAATATTCAACATAACTACAGCAACCATTATTATAACATTTTTTTACGTTTTGCCATTCCATAAACCTTGTAAGATGCTATCAAAGCATTACCTATTTGATGTTTTAGTACCTTCACTTTCTGGTAAAGGATCACGAGGTTTTAATCAACCATGGTGATTGGTTTCGAGTTGATATTGAGCATTACAGAAATATCTCAATGCTTCATGAATTTTGTTTGAGATTTTTACTTAAAAATAAATCTTTGAATCCGACGGAAGTATCTTAGTGCGGTGAAAGCAATTGCGGAATTTCGTCTGGTTGTTTTGAAAGAAAAGAGAGAGTGAATGACTTACGCATTCGTTTATCAAATCTGATTTCATTGAATAACAATTTACATACAACATACAACACGTAGGTAAAAGTACATACATTTTGTATATACAGGGTAGCCCGTTAGAGCCGGGAAAGAGAATTAAAAGTGCCGAAAATAAAATAAAATACATAAATTGATAGTCTTGAGATGACCTTAGCTGGAGGCCAAGTTTAAAATCGCCAGACACGTGAATCAGTTTCTCAACTCGACTTTCCTTTACCAACGTCTCTTTTTAGCCATGGCGAGAAGTGGCAGTCGTTTCGCTCAAAAGTCAACCAAATAATGATGCAACCTCGAATCGCCAAAATGTATGTCACGACCATAGCGTCTACTGCCCAGGAGTTTGTAGAACGGTGAGTATGCAAATTAAGTAATTAAACACAATCTAACGACATTAACAAATGCAGAGTGCAGTTTGCAGTAACTTTTTTTTTCAGTGTCAAATCGTTGCAAAATTCGAGGGGGGAGATGCCCGACGACTTTTTAAACGAGCTTCACAAGTGGTCTTTGGAATGCAAGTATCTTTTACATCCATGTTTTTTTAGGGACTGTACGTTGATAGTGTTGAGGGTGTTATTTTTTAGCTATTGCAAAGGTGGCTTTAGATGTACGTTTGGGCTGTTTAGACGAAAATTCTCATCCGGATACTCAAAGACTGATAGATGCTGTGAATACTTTTTTTATAAACGTACCTGTTTTAGAGTTAAAAATCCCATTTTGGAAGCTAGTAAGAACCCCAACATTTAATAAATATATAGAAGCTCTAGACACAATTAGGGAGTAAGTAGATGCTTTTAGCATCAACTATCCTTTTATCAATCCGTAATATTTCGTTTTCAGGATTTGTATGAAATATATTACAAAATCGTTGGAACATTCAGTGAAACCTAATGAAGAAAATGAGATATCAATTTTACAGAGAATTTTAAGACTGGAAAATGATACTAAAATAGCTACAATTCTAGCATTGGATATGTTTTTGGTTGGTATTGACACGGTAAGGAAAATTTAATATTTATTTTCAGAAATACCTATATTTGTTTTTCAAATTATCAAAAATTAGCACATTAGTGCCGTGACATAGCAAATTTTCAGGTAAATACTGACATATTTACTCAATATTTTAATGACTCAAGCATTAAGTTTTGTTTAAATCCAATTTCTTTATGTTAGAGCAGTTATACACACAACTTTAACATGACATTATATTAATTGCTTCCTTAATAAGTGAAACCGCGTACTTAGTAATTTTTACGATCTCTAATAATAAAATAATTAGATGGTTCTTCGTGTTTTATTGAGAATGGTAACCATACAACTGCTGGGTAGTTATTATGCATAACGTGTCTTCGTGACGACGTTATTAAAATGCAATGCAATTGCTCCTTGGTACAAGCACAAACGTATATGAACATGAAACAAGCTAATGAGCTTTTCAATAAAGATTTTCTATATACATAATTTATTATGAAATAAGGTAAAACTGCACAAATAAGCCGAAATACAAAGTTACTTACATTATTACCTACAAGTGATGCAAATTATGCAGACAATTCTTTGACTGAAATTAAGAGAAAGCTTTATTACCCTTTTGGATATTTTTTGTGAGAGAGTACCTACATAAAATTCAGTCATCACACCTTTTAAATCATCTTTGGAAGTAATCTACAGGGTGATACCTTTATTGAGACCACAATTCCTTAATTGTTTTACCGTTTAATTTTGTCGGTGTCGATTCTGATAATTTTCTTATAATTTTAGACTTCGAATGCTGCTGCATCTATTTTATATCAACTAGCAATCCACCCTGAAAAGCAGAGAATACTTAGCAATGAAGTATTAAATGCTTTACCCGATAAATCTTCGCCAATAACCAGCGAAAAGTTAGAGAAAATGGCATATTTAAAGGCGTGTATAAAGGAAACACTGCGGTAAGAATATCGTTAATAGAACTAAATAATTATAATAATCGGTCCCCTCTACCACATAAGTCCTACACTACTTAAATTAATGACATTATTGTTATTGTTAATTAATGATTTACAGGAATATTTATAAGTTACAAAATATTTGCACAATCAATATTTTACTTGTTTCATTTTAGAATGTACCCTGTAGTTATTGGAAATGGCAGGCAAACAACTACCGACTGCATTATAGGTGGATATCAAATTCCTAAAGGGGTAAGTTTTTTATCTGTTACTGTCAAGGTCCAATATGGGACCGAAACAATTGAATGTTGCATAAATGAAATGGCCGTAGAAATTTTATTCCGACAAAAATGGATTTCTCGTATCTTCTTATCCCCCTGTACCAATATGCAGCTCTTTCTATTGTGAAATAAGGACGCTAGATGGCATTTTCTAAAATCGCTATTTTCAGTTTTTTCACAATATTTCAGGAACCGCAGCAGCTATCTTTGATCCGTTTGGTTGGTTTTAATGACCTTCAAAAGGCGTAACTTTTTTCTAAATTTAGTCACCCTGTATGTATCACCCTTACTGTTTCTCAGATGCCAATGATGAGCCATGAAAAACGGACCACCCTATTTCAATAGATATCAATGAATTATTTAACAAAACTACCTATTATAGGAAGTAATTTTCACCACACTATCATTTCAACTACTGGCATAGTAAACACTTATGAAATCCACTTGCCGTGACTTCCTCTGTATTCACCACACCTATCTATCATTTTATTTTAGGTACAAGTGATTTTTCAACATTACGTCATAAGCAACGAGGAAGAGTACTTCCCGCGAAGCAAGGAATTTCTTCCTGAAAGGTGGCTGAAGTCTAGTCCCTTTTTCAAAGAGCACCACCCATTCGCGTCCTTACCGTTTGGATTTGGGAAAAGAATGTGCCTTGGGCGGAGATTTGCAGATTTGGAATTGCAAACTCTTCTAGCAAAGGTACAACAAACTTCGGTGTTTCGCAGATTATTTTGAAACGTGCTATAAAAGCCACATAATTAATTTTATTGAAGTAGCAGTATGGACTGTTATTTTCTTATCTTATTAACATACGCTGTTTGCCAACAAAGCAAACAGTTGTTCAAGAACACCACGGGAATTGCACACGTAAATAGTTGAATTAGAAAAGTAACAAAGGAAAAACTAAGGTCAAATAAATTAAAATCTATTAAGATGGAATTGAATTCATGCACAGACATTATCAGGTAGTTGCGATTCCACCCACAGGCTAAAAGTGTAAAAATATGATTAATTTCCGATGAGTAGAATCAATAAAATAATGTTTATTACGATGTATAAGTACAACGAAAATATAAAGAAAACCTTGACTAAAATAATTGTTATACTTATTAAAATATTTCAAATAAATTAAAGTATCACTGTTTTTGTTTCAGGTTGTTAGAAATTACACCTTGGAATACCACCATAAAAAATTAGACTACTTTATTCACCCAATGTACACGCCAAATGGCCCCCTAAGAATAAGATTTATAGAAAAATGTGTTTAAATTTATTGGAATTAATAAAAATAAGATTTTTGAGACTGCTATTTATTTCAAAGCATCCAACAACAAATTATTATTAATGGTCCAATTAAATGGGCCTTTAAATCGCAATTTTGGTCAACTTGCCCGAATTTTTTATAACGAGCGTTCAAATAAAAACGTGGTCGAAGTTGGCTCTGACCCATTGGACGTAGGGAGTAGCTTATAGCGACCAACTTAACCTCATTTCTCAACGAGCTGTATAGCAGCTGTCAGTTTCTATAACGTTAATGACTATATAACTTTATTTTAAAGAATAATCGTGATAACAATTATTATGAAGTTCACCGTAGTTGTTTAAAAACCATTCACAAAATACAGCCCGTCGCGGAAAATCAACTTCATGAAGTTCTTGCTGACATTCCAAGCACTTTTAGAACCTGTTCCTC